GACGACGTCGACATTGACGCCATCTAAGTCAGCGCGTGCGCCCGCTGACGTCAACGTCACCTCTAACGTCACAACGCTACACTGGAAGTTTAAGTCGGCGCTGTGGCGACCTCAACGTCCAACGTCGCCAATTCTGATGGTTATGTACGTAATCAGATGTTTAAATTAGTAGAATAAAAAATAAATTAGCAGTGAGTGTAGCGACGTAGCGCAGACGTGACGTCATCGCGGCAGTCGACACGCGCATTTGCAAATTGTACACCGTAATCAATTCCAAACGTTTTGTAAACTACTCGTATATGTTGCATTAACTCAATATTACTACAATGAGATAGTGTATTTAATGTTGTGCGGCGACATGTTACCGTCGTATATTCATATGTATTTAATGGGGAATATTGTATCGAAATGTATGTAATATGGACCTTTCATAGCTTTTGTTGCTCAATTTTGTCTTTCGTTTCTCAATGTTGCGTTGGATATTTACAGATTGTATTCATGTTTATAACTCGATTGAACTTAGTGTTTCTATGTGTATTTTATTGTAACAGCAATTCAGTTTCCATACATTTGTTTACCGCAAGTCAAAAGTATGTCGATTTAGGAGTGTAAATTAAATATGTAAAAACCGATTAGCTATGGTTTAATATAATTGTGTAATATTGGTGTATTCAAATTCGGTGTCCCCTACTCTGTCTGTATATCAACGTGTATCAGATGTGATTACTTAGAGAAGTAGCCTCTAGCAATTTTCCATCTATAATTGTTCCTATATTTGAATCTTGTTTTGAAATATTTTATCAAGATAATCTAAACTTGCAAACAAAAATCGCTTAGAAACCTTGTCGTTTCATTCATGAAATGGTAGATTTAATTGGGTATTTCGTATTGCAAAGTCTGTGGAGGTCGGGTTTTCTATATATATTTTTGGAATGATATAAGATCATTAGCGCCGCGGCGCAGAGCGCAACGACTGAATGGCGGCTTGGAATTGTGTTGGATGAATGTTTTATTTTGCAAGAACTCGATACGTTCCGTAGCGGCTGTATTATTGTCACAAACGAGGACTAACATTTTTAATGCTGCAATCAGATGTTTATATTTAAATGATTTTAGTATTAAATAGTAAATTGGCGATAGCGCGAGGTCGATTGGGGTACCCCTGTATCTCCCCTCCCCTGGGGTTGCCGACATCCTTCCCCTGGTTGTTGCCGCCCTCCACTCCCCTCCCCCAGTCGTCGCCGCGCCCCTGTCGGTACACGCGTAGGTTAGTTCGCGCCGGTGCGTTTCCTCTATTATAAAACTATTATGGATAGAATATTTTGAAATTGCCACCTGACAATTTTATTAGATTTGTTTTGTATTCAATACATTTGGATTATGAAAATTTTGTCGTTTTATTTATACCCTTCCTTTTGTCGTGTGGAGAAATTCAAAAACCAAACCTTTTAAAAAGTGGTTCACTCGAATAGTGTGTGACTTATCCGAAACGAAATATCGAAGGGGAATAAATAAATTAGAAAGTACTTATAATTATTGTTTTATTCGTGTTGTAATAAAAAATACAATAGTGGGCACAAAAATGTATACAATTTTCGGTACAGACAAACATTTAAGGAATTTGAAATGATACAAAATACATATTTCACTGTTATAAAAACAACATTCATATATCACCCTGACTTTGGGTCGCGAAACCCGCCTTAACTACTAAATGCGTTAACATTAATACATAAAATTGTTCTATTAACAGTAATTGTTCGACTTTTGTCGTGAATTTAGAACTTATGAGCTAAAGTGATCAGCGCCATCTAGCGCTAGTAGTGCGACCTCCGGTTCTTGTTCCGCGCGTGGTTAGCCAGACATAGACCGAACACTACCGCAACAAGCTGCGAAAAAGAGAAAATTAAATTACGCTAAAATAGTTAATAAAAACCTATATTAAAAAGTCAAAAGTAAATATCATCAAGTAAATATCTCTCCTAATTTCGTTACAAGCCAATTATAGTCAGGTATAGAGTCAGACTTGTTACCTATTGGTTGTTGTCCTGTCTATTATGTTAAATCTTTACTGGGTATTAATGATCACATATCAAGAACTGACCTCAATAGCAACAACGACGATACAAACAACGCCAATGGCGAGTCCGAAGGTCTCCAGCAATCCTTGGACTTGCTCGTCGCAGCCGCGGTACGCGTTGAGCGGCGTGCAGGGCTGCGTGGCACAGCACGTCTCCGGTAACGCGATGTTCATATACGACAGCGGTCCCGTCGGCCCGCAGCAAGTAAACTGTTAACATAGAATGATTAGCTTACTATACCACGGAGCCTAGACTACGTCTAGGACTAGGTCATAAACCACTCTAGCCAAATGATGTAATTCTTTAAACCAATAGAGAATTACTGTCAGAAGATGAAAGTCTTTGTAAGAACAATGCTAATTTAAAGACTAATAAATGTAAACGTTTCACTGCTCAAACGTAGAATGTAAATGTTGTCATTGTTATTTTATAGAATATTTAGTTTATAAAACATATGAGTTTGTACATATTTTCCGCAGTAGAAACGGTAAAAGCCCACTTTAAACCCGAATCCGCAGCGTTATCATTCCGACCGATAATATTGTTTTCTGTGAAACTGGCACATCATAGGAAACGATATGTTATCAATATATAATGTCAAAACAGTTAAACAACAAATTATACGAACGAATTAAAAAAAAATCGATAAATTCTATTATACGCTGTTACTCACGGCTTTCTCGATCTCTTGGAAGGCGATTCTATCCCTGTTGAAGGCTTCGTTCAGTACTTGGGGCACGCCCGCCACCAGTTTGTCCAGGTTCACAAAGATCAAACTGGCCAGCGTGATTTTCAAGATCATCAGAATAATCATAAACAATGAGTACTGAAATAGAAAAAAGGATTTATCTTTTGTTTATCGTCAAAAATTACACCAGGTTTAATTGTTATTTCGGTTTAAAAAAACCTTATGCCAAAGGAATTAATATTGCCGGTGAATTACTTTGATCTATACGTGTTAGTTATTTCGTAAAGTAACTTCAATAAATTCATCTAAACTTTGAACTTTTGCATAAGTATGAGAAGTACAAAAGCAACTGACAGTGATAAGCATGCAATTGCTCTCCCTGATGGCTCCGCAGCAGCCGAAGAATGCGATGAGGAACACGACGCCGCCGACCACCATGGAGGCGATGGGCGCCACTTGGTAGGTGCTGTCGGCAATGTTGATGACCGCCGTGCCTTGTATCTGCACCGCTACACCCAGACCGAGCAGCGCCAGACCCGCTAGCTGAAAATATGTTAAAAATCATACCATCTATCAATTTATTTCAGTTGTCCTCCCCTCCCCCTTGGCGACATCCTAGACTTTTCGTCCAGAAAATAGTGATCCGCGAAGGCATAATCTTTGTTTTTCCTTTGTGCGGTTTATCTTAAAAGCGTAGCTAACGATATCTTATCTTTATAGATTTTGGTTATCCATTATTAAGAAATAAGTACAGTTTTTATTAGTGGAATAAAAGAAGTCTCTGGTTATTTCACAGTGTTTCCAGAAAATAAGGAACGCAACTTTTTTCACTATGACCAAGATATTTACAATGGACATGTTATTCCTTATCTATAAATTGTAAAGTCTCTTCTAAGACAAATAAATAACAAACAATAATAGAGAAACAATAACAGGTTAGTTATGAGTGACAATAAACAAAATTGAGTTGATTACTTTGAACTTTGATCAGTAAAACTTTATAAAAGCTGTTAAATACTTAATATTTTAAATAACATTTCTCACCGCAAATAATAAGTTCGTTATGAACAGGACATATCGTACGAGTATTTCACCACACCCCATTTTTATATTATTTTCTATGCAAAAAAGTGCGCAAACGTGTCGCTAGATCGATAGCCACTGATGGCGCAAGATGGCCGCCGCCGTTATCAGAACTGATAAGCCGATAGCGAGCCGCGGGAAAAGAGGTTAGGTTAGCGCTTTTTAATACAACGCTCAGGTAAATATAATGTAAACAAGATTCCGCTCTCCATATTAGAACTACAATGTAGTAGACATTAAGGTTATTATAAATGTTACTGGAAATGACGTTAGGAAGACGTACATAAGTATAGTAGTTTAAATTGATTTTCAATGAAATCAAAAATATGTACAGTCAAAAACAAATAACTAATGTTATTTCTACAAATAGCTAATTATATAGCAGTAAGTGTAAACGAAGGGATAGTAATAAAAACTAGCCGTGTATCACTAACAGACTTTTATTCGTACAGATACATGTATCTATAAGCTGCGCTGTGTTGCATTGATTTTTGTTTCGCGTTTCTTTTCAAAATGTTCAAACGATTGCAGCTTATGGTGAAACACCGCCAGTTAGCCCGACTGTACTTATAGAGTACAAAATATTCACGCAACTATTTGTAGTAGGGTCCGATTTTTTCGATGTAAAGTATAATACATAAATGCTATAATTTATTTATAGAATTATCACATGTTTTATCTCCTTGTAGGCGGATAACAACCGCAGTCCATGATTTATTTTCCATATGTAACTTAGGAGACAAACATTAAAATAGTCATGTTTGCATTTTGTAGTTATACTCGTATTATATACTAGCTTTCGCCCACGACTCCGTCCGCGTGGAATTAAGAGAAAACATTGTAAAATATAGCCTATGTTACTTACAGATAAATTACCTTTCTAACGGTGAAAGAATTTTTAATATCGGCCCAGTAGTTTTTGTACCTATTCATTACAATCAAACAAACAAAGTTTTCCTCTTTATAATATTAGTATAGAATATACTGTTACCAATAAAATTGTATCTGTATTAATGAAAACGCAACAACGTCAACCCTCGTATGGGAAATAATAGAAATAATTCTAATAATTAACTAGTTTGTTAAGTTGAAAACAGCATGACGTTTTTGTATGTTTTGCGGCCAAACTCTAATTAAACAAAATTATCAGTGCGTCAAAACTTAGCTGAATCATCTAAGTTCATATTCCGGACTATGACTAAGAGCTATGCACATACTTGTTTTACAGAGACCTTTATTAATTCACTTACAATGTGCAATCTGTTTCGCGGTAAATTGATTTTCAGCGAGTACTTCGTCGATAATACAATCGTGATAAGATTCATACTACGATAATAAGAACTTATATATTATAATAGCTTTCGCCCGTGACCCTCCGCGTGGAATTAAAAAAAGAAAGTCCCTTATCTGTTCTCCCAGACTTGTACATCTATGTCTAATTTATCGAAATCCGTTTAGGTACAAACTGTAAGAAACATCCATCCATCAAAACTTTCACATTTATAATATTAATAAGATAAGTAAGATTATCATTATATCCTTCTTATATTTTAAATCATAGAACTTATAGTAAATGTAAAAAAATATATCCAGTTACAAAGTGACAAAGATGTTGATGTTTTGTAGATTATAGTTAAATCGACACTTTGTTATATTCTATGACTATTTATGGTGTTGCACAAAATATAATTCGTATTTTTAAATGCGACTTTACCAGCAAGTCACAATAGTTCATAATCATTTACACATTTAGTTACACTTGTGTAAACAACTATATTGATGCATTCTTATTCTTACGGTTTGTATCAGTACTTTCAGTACATCCATGTTATAAAGATAATTATTTATTCCCCAATATGATATGCTTTAAAGTAATCAGAAATATGTCTTATCGTTTTAGTAATTCTACATGTTATATACTAGTGTTTAAAATCTGCTATTATGATGGTATAAATAGAAATTATTCGAGAAATCTAGTTAGAATTCACATAGACTTACTTTAGCTAGATGCCTACAAAAAGTATGGCAAGAGCATATTTATCTATCTATTGCAATGTCTGTATTGAAAGCAAAAATCCAAAATTTCGCGAAGAAGATGTATTTGCGTTACTGGTAACGAAAATCGGATTTAAAAATTGTTTGTCTGTTAGTCTGCAAGCCGCGTTTGTTCCGGGTAATCTCCGAAGCGACTTTACCGATTATGAAAAGACTTTACTGCAATGTTTCTGAAGCACGCGGGAATTTTGAGTTAATGAAGTTTGCGGGCGATAGCTTGAATTAAATAAAGTAAAGGAATTGGATATGGCAAAAAAGAGGTGTGTCAGGAAAAATGACTAATGAGAAGTCGCTCATTTCTTTTAAATTGTGTAACAAAATTTACTTCACTTACCGCAAAAAATAAGTTCGTAAAGAACAGGATATATTTAACTAAGAATTCACCACACCCCATTTTGTATGTTTTCTTTCTTCAATTAAAAAAAATGTAACAAATAAGTGCGCGCACCTCCTCACTTGTCCGTCCACTGGCACTACAAAATGGCTGTCATCAAACATAAAGAGTTATCAGGACTGATAAGCTGCGACTCACGTAGAGTTTTCCAGGGAATCGTTTTTTAATGATTTTTTACTTTGATAGCTAAATTCGATTGATACATCAGTGTTTGGGAGACACATTTTCATAACTGTACAGTTCTAAGAAAACCGATAACTAAATTATTAAGATTAGTTTAAACCGGAACGGATAACATAACTAGATTGGCGTAATTCTGTTTATTGCAAAGTAAAGCAATAGTCGATATCTATTTTATTTATATAGTTTTATTACAAGTCTAGGTTTATATACGTATCCGTTTCCTAATCATCTTATGACTATATCTCATTGATTTTACCTTAGTTTTGGTAATGTAGTTTTTTTGCATAATGTTCTGGCATTGCTATTTAATTCTTACAGGCGTTCTGGCAAAGTAATAAAAATACGTTTAAAAATTCACATAAAGTATTTAATTACGATTATCGTGTGAATATTCACTACTAGACAAAGAGTGTAGGCGTTTCTATTTAGTACATTTAAACTAAACGGAAGTAAAATAAATTATCCTATATAACCTATAGTGTTTTTGTTATATACCTAAACTAGGTCTTTAGAACTTGTCAATCATATAAAATATAGTTTGTCATAAATAATGCCGCATTGTTTCCTCTTTTATGGTATATTTGATTGACGATTTCCATATTCCAGTGTAACATTGTTATTTTAAACTGTATATAGCAACGCTATAATCCTTGTTAATATTATTTATACATATATTTTGCAAAAAGGTAGTTAACCTCCAACTATGTAAAACCGGTAACAATATCACAGCAACACGAAGTTACTGACGGAATTCGTCTGGATTGAAAAATGACGACTGCTGGAATCGGTCCCGCCTTAATGTTGCAATTTACAGGCAACTGGTTCCAATTTTAATTAAATAAGTTAAGAAAAAGACATCCTTATGTACCCATCCTGAATTATTTGGATAAAAAATTAGTCTCTGATATAATAACCAAGAAAGTTGAATTTGCGATCAAACATCTTCGAAAAAGCACTCTTTTATGCTTTTAAACTTTAAAATCACATAAATACCTTTACCATGTTAAAGGTACCATTAACAAGATTAAGAGTTAGGTCTTACAAAACCAGATCCAGGTATCAAAATAAAAACTAGTTTTTAGTGCTACAGTGATTGTATCGTTGGCTATTCTGCAACTGGGCAACCCGTACTCATCAATTCATATTAAATTTGCAATAGTACTTCCCTAATTATGATGAAATATTGTTGTCCTACGATAATTAGCGGGAAAAAACATAACTTCTGACGCCCAACAGTCCCGGCAGCGTTTCCTATTGTTTTAATATTAAGGAACGAATGATTCAACAGTCTCGAATTAGTCATTCACCGATGACTGTATGTCTTAAAGAACTTAACACAACGTTTAGAATAACATCTTCCAAATATCTTAAATAGCCAGATATAACAAGTAAAATTGTCCTGCAAATCAGTTCAGTTCACACTACTTCTAAACATTAATATAATTGTAACAACGTTATTAGACTGAGTATGAACTCCCGCCAGATTGGCGCGCTATCCTTAATCATTCATGAATGACATTGACAGCTGTCATAGGGACGGGACGTGTATGCCGATAATCTAGTGTTGTGCCGTTCTCCGGCGTACCGAGTTACTTAACACTACGTATAGTTATGATTTGTATTTCCAGCAACGAAGTTAGACCTACGAGTTGAGTCTTCGTAAAGTACACGGTCATTTGAAGAAGCCGTGGGTTAATCAGGTTCAAGTCTGCAAGCTTAACTTTAGTTCCCATTCAGAGCTGATGCAGATCGCTACTTTATAATATAAGGTGGCAAACGAGCAAGCGGTCCCCTGAATCCACCGAAATAGAAAGCGACCGCTGCCCATAAACATCCGCAAATGCAGATGCGTTGCCTACCCTTAATTGAGGAAGGAGGAGACCCACATAAAGTGGACATTTCCCCTTCATATGCGTCTCCTCCAAAGTCAAATCCACTTTTCCTTTCAATCCTTTCCTCTTAAGAAAAGGGTGGAAAGGAAAAGGGACTAAAAGTAAACCTCCGTCCCGGCACCACACTCAACATACGAAACGCGGAATTGCCACCATCCACTTGACGCCTGTTTTCTGTGTGGTCGTGGTATTACACCGGGCCAGCCGACCCATTCGTGCGAAGATGTTAAAGCGGGTTCTACCACTTAAAAGTGTGATAAGTATCACGTATTGTTTTTTAGGCTTGATCTTAATTTCAAAGGGCTTAATTTGTTACTTAATTTAGGAAAAGTTTGTAAAAGGAAAACTATTATCGTTATTATCGGAAAAACCATAGACATTTCTGAGTTAAGTCATTATTTTACACATCAAACATGTAAATTAAAATAATTATGTACTTTTTATAAAACTGATGTAATTATTGGCGTTAGTACGTCGCGTGTCTTGTAGTAATTACAAACAGGTCCTAATCGACACTGCGCGAGCGCACTTTTTTATTTATGTTTTAATTATCAATTGTTTCCTATGACTAAGGGTTAGGGTTTTATCGGTTACTACGGGACTTCACTGAATGTACTATTTACATTTGCTCCAAACGTAAACTATCGTATGTTTGAATCGCCAATAATTCGAGACAAAACTTTGGAAATGAATACTATTTGAGATGCATCAGCACATACGATATATAACTAATATCGACATTTCTTTTGTTACCTTCAAAACACCAAAATTATTATTTATAAAGTAAATTTTTAAACATAAAATAAGATATAAATTGCAAAATTGTGGCTTACGATAGTCTACGTAGGAGCCATCGATTGGCGCTTATTTTATATTCCTAATTTCTAATTGATTAAAAAGTTTGTGAGTAAGGTGGAAATTACTTGGTTTCTTGAATAAGTAGTAAGTTTTACTAATATGGGAGGTTTTAGTAACAATCAGAGCTATACAACTTTGATCAATTTTATAATTAAACGTATTAAAGCATCATTTCCTTGAACAACTAGTATTACAGAAATTATTCATGCTAAACAAAATGTTCACATGTAAACTTCCTCATTCTTAGCGGGTTTGTATTTAAAATTCACAACCATCTAGTTTTAATGTAATTTTGTCATTAAATTAGATGTAATGTTTATCCTTTTAAAAGCTAGTTAGTAGTAGATTTTGGTTGCGATTTTGTCCATGCAAAGTAATAAAAAAAACTGTATTTAGTAGCCTATGTGTTATCTCAGACTATGTTTTATAACTCTGCCAAATTTGGTCAAAATCGGTTAAGATGTTTTGGAGCTACATAATAACAAACATCCATACATTTCTAATAGCATTATAACAAATGAGTACAATTATGATAACCTTTCAATTCACGTTTTTTTTCAATGCTTAATTTTAAAAACTGTGTATTGCGTAAAAAGAAATTTCGTAAACATTGATAACCAAAAAAAAACCGCAGGTTCGTAACATTGGTCATGTAGTTACAATTAAATAGATAAAAGCGCGGGAAACCTAAACCACACGCTTGCGTAAATTCCAAGAAAAATGGCGTACTATTGAGGTAGGTCAGTGGTCAGCATCTTATAACCATTTTGTAGATTCCTTAGGTTAACTCGACTATGACCATTGAACACTGAATCACTATAAAAGGGGTTTGTTTTTTAATTGTTCAATGCAGTTATTAGGTACTCTGTGGAGATACACTGGTAGAGGTAATCGTAGTAAGAGAAGGATGTATTGCGTGAAAGGAGACATGAGCAAGAAAGGAGTGACGACTGAGATAACGTATGGAAATTATCTAGAGGACATAACTCTTGAGGTACCCTATGGGAATAGGATAAGGACCAGGAGATGATGATAGTACACTATTTATTTTTATTAAGAAGTGAAATATATGACGATTGACGACTGCTTTATACTTGTGATATATACAATCGGGGAATCTGGAGATGGAACACCCTAAAAGCTGCAATCGTTTGAATATTTTGAAAAGAGACTCGGAACAAAAATCAATATAACGCAGTTTATAAATGTATCAGTATGAAAAAAGTCAGTAAGTGATACAAGGATAGTTTCTTGTTATTATTGTCTCTTCGTTTGCACTCACTGGTATCTAATTACTTATTAGTAGAGTGAAGTAATGTTTTTCTCGTTGCAATGAACAAGACAGTTTTTCTTAAAGTGGAAAACAGCGGGTTTCCGCGACTTAAACAACCGAATTCGTCAGCTTTTCATGATGTAAGTGCAAAAAATCTTCGGGTCAGCAGAGTAAGTAATGTGAAATTCATTGGATTTTTGTTCTAATAATTAAAAAAAGTTTACGTTTGTTTTTGGGTCTACATTTATTGATAGCTGACGGCAGAGTGACGCGGTCTGAGTCGGTTTTCCCTGTACGACAGTCACCGCAAGATAACTGGTCCACTCGCTTATTGCTTCCGTTGGTGGCATTCTGTGGGCGTTACAAAATGTACCGAACTGCGAGACAACACTGTCAATAGAAGGTATTTTATACATTTTCGTGTTCAAAATGCTTCTATAGTATGTAATGTAATTTGTCTGCATAAGCATAATAAGCGCCTAACAAAGATACTTTAACGAGAAAAATCTTCGCGAATACAAACACTGACCTCTATGAATGGACTGGCTATAGCGTGGTATTTTATGCCTATTTGTTTTTTACCATTTTAGCGCTGACTATTACGATTGGTAGAGGTGGTGAGGATTCGAAATATTGATAGAGATGCAATGATCTGCTATGAACTTCCGAACGAAATCTGTTATTTCCTTTTCAAGCAATAATCTATTTATTTATTGAGTTCAATGGTTTAGGAACTTATAAAATTAAAACAGTGTTATCAATCAAATTCCAGAACCGTTATTCACTTTTTCTAAAATTAGGTACAATTATTATACAATGGGTTATTCCAAACTAAAATGGTATAACTATTTTGATATATTCAAAAACCCAAAGCAATATAATTGTATATCATTTAAAAAAAACTTCGCATTAAATTATACAGCGACGACATCATATTAAAACCAGTCCAGAACAACTCGTTTGTGCACAAAAAACATAACATATTTTACATGTAGCTTGCGTGCTTAGTTTTAGGAATTCTATCAAAAATAAAACACACAAAAAAATTCTAAATTTAGGAACAATGGTCCACGTGCAGGGGTGTGCAAAAGGACAGAGAAAAGAAAGTTTGTAAATCTCTGATGTGATAAATTAAATGAAGCCTCCAGTACCAGCATTAGATAGAGTGAGGTGGAGTGACCGCCCAGAGCACCGTAACTAGAAGGACCCGACAGGTGACATAAAGGGCGTCCCTTTATGCTTTTTTTCGTATTCGTTTGTATTGCAGTTAAGGGGCGCCGTAGAAATAAACCAGGGTAATGTTAATTCCGGCCCTCGACGCCCCAACACTTATGCATGCTCTCTGTTCACCGAATCATCACAATATCATGCATAACTATGCCATCAAATTAGAACGCAAATTACTTTATTGTACTGCATAATTTGTGTCATGAACACACAGATATGTTCATACGATATAGTGCAATAATGACCCCGAACTAAATATCTGTGTTACTTTAGTGACATTTGATAAGTTTTTTCTGGAACGTGATTTATTACGCGCACTTCCTGCATGCAGTTTGTATGCAGTTTGTATATGAATTTTTTAATTAGTAATACATTAAGTGAAAATATATTTCTTTTAGTTATTATACATTACTAGCTTTCGTCCGCAACTCCGTCCGCGTGGAATTATAAAAACAAAAATGAGTAGCCTATGTGTTCTTCCAGACTATCCTCTACATCTATGCCAATTTTCATCGAGATCCTTTCAGCCGTTTAGGCTACAAACTCTAACAAACATCCATCCATCCATCTAAACTTTCGCATTTATAATATTAGTAAGAAGTAAGATTACAAAGTGACCGCCGTTTTATATTGAGCATGTAGAGCTTGATATTATGATAACATTTTTTAATCACTTTTAGGGTTATTAAATTAAGCTAGTTCAATTTAAGTTACGTTTCCATAGTTAAGCACATCTCAGAAACTCCTAACATCTATATATCAAAGCGAATCAAATGTTTTCTTTTAAATGTCTGAGGTCTAAGATACGATTATCGTAAACAATAAATACATTATTCTAATGACATTGAAAAACTTATCTCTCTTCCATTGTACACAGGGTCTTACTAGGATCCAAGCACTAATGTGTAGGCGTGTAAAAACCATCAGGTGAACGAACTATACGTCTCGATGTTAGGTGGTTGAACAATATTGTTTAATTTTTCATGTAGTATCAACAACGTAGATCACATTCAGTTCTATTTGACTGTAGAGATTTTTACTAATATAAACAAATTTGTTATTTATTAATGCACAAAAACCTTGCCTATAAATAAAATCAATGCTTTTCTAATAGGATTTACCTCAGTTCATTAAACTAGTTGACATTTCTGTGAATTATTCAATCTAAATTATGAATGCAAACAAAGCATTAATATTTGAACGTTTACCAGATATGTGTTCCCTACGGGGAATCCACTGTACATTTCACAAGATATCGCACAGTCTGTTTGTGTTAAAACTATGGTATTTTTAGAGATCAAGTCATTAAGTCAGACGCTGTAAATGCGTTGTCAGTGAACAGTGAATATTGTGGCGGCACGACAAGCGGACGTGTCACTGTGCTGTGCTGTAACGCATCACTAAAAACTTTCTTTACAATTGTAAAAAAGTAATACATTAGCTAAAGAGATTTCTTACTTTTGTTGATAATATAAAAGTGTTAAAATGTCGTCGAGTACTGGATTAGGCAAAGTGGAGTCCCCTAAGCAGCATGGGGCAAAACCTTTGGACCTAAACGATGTTGAAATGGTCTTCGGGACTCCGAATTCTCCCAGAAGTGATTTAAAACCAGATGTGCATCGGATAAACGAAAGGACACACGGGAAGGAAACGGTAAATTTAAATAACAATATTATAACTTACTTCTTATTAAGTTGTAAAGTCTCTATGCTTGTCTCTATCCTTATAATTTTTCTATGTTTTAATAAGTTCATTTGTTTTAGAAAATTATTAATAAAATAGTGATCACTTGATTTTTGTTTTAATTGTGAGACAATGTTTTTTTATTGTAATACATGTAAATTAGGCTATGTCATCCGTGCAATGACTAACCGATTGGCCGATGACCTTAAAATGAAGTACTTGTTCATTCACCTTTCTTAAAGAATTATCTAAAATTTCCATATATAAAATTCATTTGTCATTTATATTGCGGACAAATATGATAGTCCAATATTTTACTGATATAAATGCAAAAGTTTAAGGGATGTTTAGAAAACTTTGCCGCCTAAACGACTGAGCGGATCTTGTTGAAATTTTGTATGTAGAGCAAAGTCTGGATGAACACATAGTCTACTTTTATTTGTTTTTGTTTCATTCCAAAGTCTTAGGTTAAAGCTAGTATTTATATAAATATTTCAATGTTTACAAAACAAAAGCCTTTTTTAAATCGTTTATATGTTTGTTTATATCGAAAATGTTATCTTGCAGTTTGATTACCTACGCTTTTTTTTAACTTCGTTAATTACTACTGCTACTTACAAATTAAGACTGGTAGTTATTAAATGACCGATGTAACATTGTTTGTAAGACTTTATCTCTCGTTGACACGAGGGAAACGTTCACCTGATAATATACTCGACACATAACAATGATTATAGTTGCTAAGTATTTCGAATATCGTTTGTAATCTTAGTAAAGACAGAAGGCTTTTTTTGTACTTTATTGACCTTGGGAGAGTTTGTTGCGATTGTATGTTAATTAAGAACGCATTTTATGTTTAATATTTGATCGAAGTGTATGTGGGTTTTTATGCATGTATATTCATTAGTATATTGTGACAGCACTGATTTAGACGACAAAGGTGTCATTTGATGCCTCTTGTCAGAGTATAACATTGGCACGAAACAATTATTGTGGATGTTAGAATTGAAATTAAAAGAAAATAGCGAAACATCGAGTTCGAATTCAACTCGACTTAATTTGTTTTTCAATTCTACGTCTTTTATTTCGAGTTTTTACATTTATAAGATTTAGCCAGACGTGATTGTTATTTTTATATAAAAGTTAAGTTATTTTTGTCTATTCCAGTTTATCAAAATCAACGTTATACGTTTTAATATGCTGATTAGTATGCGTTGTGGTCCGTGCACACATGCAATGTTTATAATTCGCATTAAGATGCTGGGAATTATTCATGTTAGCTCGGCATTCGGCGAGAAAGTCGAAGATATTGCGATTTGCGATTTGATTTATTGCTTTGAGTGTTGTCTACAAAGCAAATTAAATTAACTATAAATAGTAAGATATGAACACAGATACAATCGTGTTAATAAAACTTTTCTGTCGTTTGTTGAATTGGTGGCGCTACGAAATGATTGGTCTGCTTTTAAAGGATTTTTAGCTTATGTGTCCGGGAGTAATATTCATTTAATTCCGACTGACAAATTCGTAGGCAAAATAATCGTATTAAGATATATTACAATCTATTGGAAACCATGATCTTTCAATAGTAACAGATAATTTTAAAATTATAGTAATAGTACTGACCATCATTTAAATTTAACAACAAAGCTTTGGCGCCAAGTGAAAACCGAAAATGTATAACAATAACTCTATTGTGTAATGTGTATCGACCTTCATACGCCTTAGCACAGATAATTAAAAACTTTACTAGTAATGGTGGGGATCTTGTACTGTTGTCAAAGAGTTTATTTATGGTAAGAAAATTCAGAACCATAGACAACGGTTGTTCGTAAAAAAATACGCGTGCAAATTGAAGAGGTTTTTTTTTCATTTTTAACGTCTAGCAACAGAATAACGGTCTGCTTGGCTGAAAAATTAAGTAATGATAGGTGCAGTATTTTAAAACTGTAAAAAAGACATAACAATATCATACTGTGGTGCTACTTTTCTTATTCTGTTAAAAACATAAAAAAAATCTTTAACGTAGCCCGTTTTAAATTGAAACAGTACTGTTAAAAATTTAAAACTTCTTTACTTTCGATATTCAATGTAAACCGATAAATTACCCGTGTACTTATTCAATAAAATTTATTATAGGTATTTAAGATAATCATGAGCAAAACAAACCACTCATTCCCAATAAACCTGTCTATATATTTTCCGCAAAGCGCTGTTACGTATTTTCCGCGTTCAGACGTCAGTATAGTGCTATTCAAAATGTATGTAGGATCGCTATCCTGAAGACTGTGCAAATAATTTAAAGTTATAAGATAACTGCATGACGTAAAGGGGAAAGGGAATTAAGCATGTGTGCGCTTTCCTCTGCCTATATTTGGCACCTACAAACGCATACGCTTGCAGTATGTAAATGAACCGAGCTCCTTTAAGTTTTGAATCTTGTTATACCATATAGTAAACAGAAAATATTTCCCGAGATTACTCGGAGACGGTCATTGACTCCGAATAGACATGATCACGCACTACACAGCCTTCGAATAATTAACAACTATATATTTAAAAGTCATGTTCGCAATGTAAAAGGATTTCTTGATTGTGAAATAAATATTCCAATGACTCATCTAACTCCTAATATAGTAAATTAGTCGTCGCTTTTGGGTTTTCAATTTTCAGTTTACAAAAATATTCAAGTTTTCCTATTTTCCTTGTAGGTATTTTCAGCTGATTTCTGCCCTTTGAGATATTTATATACTATGTTAACAACATTCGCGTAGATTTCTATAAATACATCTCTGAGCAGAAACGTTGCTATCGCAGTTTTTTCCAGATGACAAGGATATTATTATGTTTCTCTACAAAAGTTCTCGCAGTAAAAGTAAATAACAAATATCTCTTGTCTGAAATTATTCTGATTATTATGCTACGTTTTGTTAAATATTTCTAATTTAATTGTTATGAATTTACTTAATAAAAAAACTAAGTTCCCCGAACGATGTGTCACTAGGATGATGATTTTGACAGTTAATTTCTATAAACACCATCTCACGTACGCTTTACGTAAAACATTGTGCAAATAACTAAAAAAAGTATGTTCTACGTCAGTGTAATGTATATTGCTCATATTTGGAAAACCACATAACCTATAATATACATGCAATATAAAATATGAAAGTTTAAAACAAAAAATGCTTATTATGAATAATAATAACCATCGATTAGATCACTCATGACTCAATTTTCATTGCAAACGCTTTAGTATACTTTTTTTTTAGTATTGTATTATAGCTATCTCAGTCATATTCGTACAGTCGGGGAATTTGGCAGTTTTTAAATGTGTCTGTATAAAAAGGTCTAGTGGACCTTCTTGTCACTTCGGTTCAGACACTTAGAATAAGAAGTAACTGCAAACACCTTGATTGATGCAATTTTAATATTGCCCATTGTACATTTGGCAAGAGATGCAACGTTATAAGTAGATGTCGTGAGACGTCTTTTTCTTTGGAATGCAAGACTTTTTCTTATTGCAATGAAATTAAAACGACCGAACAAAAAAATACTTTTCTTGTATTCCAGACGTAAATAAATTTATCAGAGAACATCTGCATGGATTAAAGCTTTCAGTATACCAGAGATATCTAGAGAAATTAGGTCTAGAATAATCCTAACATCTAGATATACGGAATTTAAAGTGGTACTGATTGGCTAAAGTGGGATATCACTTAGGCAAAAATGACATGACATTCGTTTAACCTCACTTTTCTCGAAATAGCCATTTAAAATTCGGTATAACCTAGCACATTAAAAAAAACGTTCGGAAATAACCTCATTTCTGTAACTTCAATAAAGGCGGGAAAAAAGATTTGTTACATTTGTTTCAAATATCATATGACTATTTAGTACACAAATTATTAGCCAGAAATCCGCGACAATAAATTGCTGATAATTATTCATTTATTTAAATTTTATCGCTCTGGATTTTACGTTATTACATCCACGTTAACATTTTCATGTTATATATTATATTATTTAGTGTGATTTCTTATTTTTATACCATACTGGGTCAAATCCTGATTTAGATTTATAAGAATCTAAATTTGTTTTTAGATAATAAACATAAAACAACGGGTGGTCTATTCTAAACACATAAACCTGGCTGGTTACATTTTATCTGGTTTGTGTACGTTTAAAAATAGAATAGATTATAGCCATAGACTCGCTGTCTTATCAAACTAAATACAATTATTTAAAAAAAAATCAAGCTCCGTGCCCTTGGCAATGGACCTAACCTACAAAACGGTGTGCATTGCAACGCTTTAGTATTATTTAAAGCCGATCCACACGTCGCCCACGCATGCGCACACGAGCGTGCCAAACGCGTTTGACATTTATTTTTTCTCAGAACACTCCTAATTACTTTCCTGTTCAAATTTTCAATACTTATAAAATACATACTAGCTGTTGCCCGCGACTTCGTCCACGCAATGTTAAGATTGAATAAAAAGGCGGCCTTTAATATGCCCATCTATGTCAGCTACCCTTCAATTAAAGTCCGGACGAAATCGGCACAGCCGTTTCGGAGGTTACCCAGAAGAAACGTGGCTATCGGACAGACATACAAAAAATTTTAAATGCAATTTTCGTTTATCAGCAACGCAAATACATCATTTTCCCGAAATCTGGAATTTTTCTTTTGATATTACAGACACTCCAATTTTATTATATGCATAGATAGATAGATATAACATAGTGATTAATACTGAGAGCTATAACTAAGTTGTAGCCTATTCTTTAAAAACGGTTTTAGTTATAAATTAAAACTTAAAGTTTCTCTTTACAACGCGCATACAAATTTCCCACGATGCAACCTTGGCATATGCATGCAACGAGACTAATTACTATCGTCTGAACTGCAAGATACAGCAATGAGTAATAAGTGAACAGGAAAACCCTACAACATACACAAACAGTCAGTCTAATGTTATTATTGCGTAGGAAAAATATTGAAAGTTGTCCAATCTTAGTTGTTAGTTGCCCGATAGATGGCGTGCATCGTTTTACTTCATCGCGGTGAAGAAAAGTTACCATTTTCACTAAAAGAAATGGCAATTAGGACTTTAAAATAAACTAAATTACCAGTCTTATTATTTGATACAGACAAATAGGAAGATAATATACGTCACTATGAAAATGAACATGCAATGTGATTATATTTAAACTTTTAACCACATAACTAAATAACCAATGAATGACGTATTAAACAAAGTTAAAACAAGTTTGGAAATGGGAAACGTGTTTTATTACGTCGGTAGAAACTTGTCCATGGATAGCCAAATAATATTTAAACTGCATAAGTAGTTTTTATTTAAATAACTCATACATCGTGTCTTGTTAAATTACGAGTAATACCATATTTATTTAAAAAGATTATTTCTAAACATTAATTATCTTAAATATATGGAAGCTTATGTGCCTCCTATAAGGGCTAATTCAAACTTAGTGTCTTATTTTGTAGTAACCTAGGGTACATTCTAGGGGTGTTATTGAATGAAAATTTTATTAATACTCTACAATTTCTTGTCTATGGGCGGCAACCGATCTATTTTACCGATATAGGTAGCCACTTCCTCGTCTTACACTTCGGACTATTAAAAACTTTATGTCAATATTAATACAATTTATTTTATGTTTCCAGCTCAACACAAACAACGGTCACGACGCTGAGGCCGTGCACCCCTCGCAGCCACTGCTGGAGCCAGAAAAGGAGCGACCGAAGCCCCCGCTGGCCGGTAAAATGTTATACATTCGCTTAATGCCCAGTAACAATTTATAAGACAAAAACTTTTGCTCGCGACTTTGTCCTTTGTCACCCTAGGATAGCATCCCAACAGTGAAAGAACTTTACAAATCAGTTCAAATTGTTTAGGAGCCCAATGCAAAAAAAAGAATCTTTCCTCCGTATTTCCTTACACAAAGACAATGTCATTACAAATGCTTCTGTTATTTTATATAATACTAATTATAATCAATTTGTATTAGGTCCTGAGATAGACGACTTGGACGAGAAGCCGACAGACGCGAGCTCTATCCCCGGGATCGACGACGGTCTCCTCGAGCCCAGCGACAAGAAACACGACGAACCACACGATGGTAAATACTAATACAGAGTTAAGCTATAATTAGTAATGTCTCTAGTTTGCGATTTATTTCTTTGTGAGGAAATTTTTAGATTAATCTCGACATTTTAACTGTCTTCATGTAATCCGTCCAGTCAATGAGACAAGACCAATTTGTGCTCAAATCACAAATGACTAAATGTCCAAATTAAATACGTCAATTTGCGTAATAATTTGTTGTTTAGTGAACACCTTTCCACTATCTCTAAGTAATTTCTCTGCAAAATCATATCTTAATGCAAGTCATTTATACTGGGTTTATGACGTTTCCATTACCTAGCGATTATTAGGTAAATCTATGTTTCAACGGAGTAAAACTCAAGTTACTTAGTTGGGAAACGCATTACAAGAAGTTATTGAACCAATAACCTTATCAAATAGCTAAACATAGCTGGGAAACCAGGCATTAGTAGTGTGAAAATGTACACTTATTTAAACTATTTTAATATTGTTCATGGGCATAACAATGCCTAATTATGTTAACGTAATCAATTTTCCCTAACCTATAACATCGTTATATACCTATGTAAATATATAAAGAGACGTCCTTCAAACGTGTGTGCTGCGGTTTCTTATCAACGTGCGAACAATAAACAATGTCTTCGTTAACTTGCATTAATTATTTAATCAGAATTTAATATAAAATAGCCTGAAATGTGTTTAAAACTCCTTTTATTAATCATCGCAAATAAAACATGAATAAAATCATGACTACAGCAAAAGCATTAATTTGTATGGAACAGTTATTTTTACATTGAAATCACATTACCTTGGTTACATGACATGATAATTGTCACATCAGTATTTTAGAGAAGCAACATATTTGTTTTGTAAATTAGAACACAACGGAACCACGGAAATAACATGCGGTCAGCCGATAACATTTTAAAATGTAGCGTCACCAAGTATTTTATTTATAAATATTTTATGCTACCTATCGCCCGCGATTTTGTCCTGGCGGAATTCAAAAATACATTAGCCTATGTGTTCTTCCAGACTATGCTCTACATCTATGCTAAATTTCATAGAGATCTGTTCAGTAATTTTGGAGATATCTTCTAATGTACATTTATCTAAACATGCAGATGTTAGCATTTACAATGTTAAACGATTAACAACTTACAATGGAAATTTTTAACTTCACACTATCTGTGTTTGGTATTTTTTGATAACTATCAAAGTTGTAAATGTTGAAATTCTGCTGCATAGTTTTTTCAACTTTTGTCACAAATCAATCAGCTATAATTAAGATTGTTTTATTTCCAGGCAGCGAGGAGAAAAGCGGCGACGGGTCCACACACCCGACACAAGACGACGGCGTCGGCACTGACGAGGGTAAATGGGTGTGGCCTGCCACCGATGAGACTGACTATCCCTACGGTGACTGGATGCATGATTACACACCGTACACCTCCCACAGCCTGATATCACCTCCTCCCATACCTAATCTATCACCCCGACATTTAACCTCACACTTTTCACCTACCCCTACCACTTCCTGCAAAGGTTGATGCATAAATGTGTATATACCATTTCCATTGGAATTATCACTTGCACCAGAATCGACATTTTAATTTTAAGATATTACGAAACAATAATGTAAAGCACGTTCGAAAAAAAAACATAAGAGGGCGGGCAAACAGTAGAAAATAAACATTTGAGGCTGTGAAACAATCGACAATCGTACACCAGTTATGCGATAGTTTAGTCAAAGGTGTGCCTTCTCTTAAAGAAACTTATTTCTGATTGTACTAACTATAAAGAGTATGGCAGATTTCTTACTATAATGTGAAGGGAATTTGCCGAGTACTATAGAGCGTGATTCACCTTCGGCCACGTCTTATTGCTGGTTGCATTTTTTTATAATTTGAAGATATGATCTGGAATCTGAACCGATCGTTAACAAAAACCTCTTAATGTCCATAGACCGGGGAGTACAATTTGCAAGTTCATAACACCAAGAAAGAAAACCTTTTAATCAAAAAAAGAAAAGCAATTCATTCTGCATGTGTTGCGGTGCACACAGAAGCGCCGGTTTTCAGTGAATCCTAAAACAATTCCAAGAAAATTCTAAATACATTTTAGGAACTATTTTAGGAATCTTCAATCTAACCTGTGTTGTCTAAAGATCAAGGGTAATAAAATCTGTTACGTCACAAGGGCGGGCGCACACCTTTGACGGAACTATCGTTGAACTGTTGAGCGATCGTCGATTGTTTCGCAGCCAATTCGACTGTTTGGTACAACTAAAAATCGAGTTGTGTGCGCATCTTATAGGAACCGAGACTAACGCTATGGTATAGTTTCGTCAGAGGTGTGCGCACGCCCTAAGATTAGCTACTACAGACACGTCATAGCAATAACATCTCGTGCGTCAACGTCATTTTATGCTCTATATGGATTCCCGCTGTACAAGGAAATAATGACCATTAATTGTAGAATTTAGATCATAATCAACATGTATGAGGAAATTAGATTATTGAAGCCAATTAGACAACTATGCTCTAGTTTAATTTCTTGAATACCAAAAGATTAACAATTATCAACTAACAAAGATCTTACGTTAGATCTAGGCCTTTTAATTTTTTTTCGTAGTTTATTTGATTTAAAAGAAGGTTTTTGAATTTTCACTTAATGTTTTATGTATATAAATGTAAATATTTGTTGATATCCTTTTTGTCCTTTTGTAAATTATACTCTTACTTATATGAATGCAAATTATTTTGATTATTTTACACACACGACGACGAACAAAAGAATCATAGTGTACATAAGTACAGGACATCGCATGCAAGTGGCACGCAACATGGCGGAAATCATTATTACGAGTATAATACTAATGTAGCAATACAACCAGTTCCATTAAGTGCTTAACGGGAAACTGCTTGCATGATTTATTTAAAAATAAAATAACTATAACTAGTTAACTACTATTATTTAAACTATAATTTAAGCAACAATTAAGTTACATTTCAAGGCTATACTTCTGTATTTAAGATAAGGTCTGAAATTTAGAGTTTTTTTTAATAGAAGCATGTTCGTTAAACGTGAAAATCATCGAAAGCACTAATTGGAAAACTGTTATTTACAACAAATTAGTTATAAGTAATTGTTTTTATTCTTTCATGTTTTTCACATTGAGCGTAAAATCTTATTTTTTGTTTTGTATTTCGCAGATGGTGTGAACGGATTCGGCAATAGATTTGGTATCGACGACCGGCCCGGCTCACCTTTCCCGCCAGGAGTAAGTAACAATTCTTATCTATAACAAAGTCACATCGGTAAAGGTAGACGTGGAAAGAGATGGATGGGTTGCCTGAAAGGTGACATGATCAAGAAGGGAGTGATGACTGAGATGACGTATGATAGAGTTATTTGGAGGACGAAAACTCGTTGCACCGATCTTACAAGAGTAGGATGAGTTAAGGGAAATCTAACAAATCAGAAATGAGACAAGTAGACCGCCTGGTTCATGAATATTTTTAACAAGATTAATAATTGAAAAAACTTTAGTACTTTTTCACTTATGAGTGACTTTTTTAGTCGATCCCGGACGTGAACACTTACCAGCAGAAGAAGAACCTGGCGCAGGGTATGATGGACCTTGCACTTCTCTCCGCCAATGCCAACCAGATGCGCTACGTGCTCGAATCTTCAACCAATCACCCCTACTTCTACCCCAGTCTCGTCTTCATCTCCCTTAGCGTCATCTTCCAGGTAAATAATGCACTTATCAATCACTACTACAAATTATCTAAAACTATCGCTTAGCTAGTGATTTGCAAACGTTGATATTTCGTCTTCTAATTTTAAACGGCATTAAATTAAATACAGTCATAACCTGTATTTCTCAAGGATTTAACTTTTTATGGTATTTTTTATTTGTGGACTATCTTTTAAGTTTATTCTTCACAATTATCCAAATCTTTCTTCTTCATAATATAAGTTTAAATGAGACACAAAGGGTTGTCGACTTGCTGGGTGCATATTATCACACCATTTGCAGTTCTGTTCCGACACACATCTAGGTCAATTATATCCAAGTCCACTGTTAAGTTTAAATTACTGCTCAAACTTAGTAATCACCTTTTCCTATCGGCACTTGCGGTACTGCTTACGCTTTAAAATACACATATAAAATTCGTGAAGAGTAAAAAATAACATACTAAGCAAATTTCTTTATATATGTTACCGGAAATGTGCGGTAACTAGGAATTGTATACTTTGTCTAGGAAAAGTACGGAATTTCGAAGCTGTTTTGGCAATGTAAAATCTTTCAAAGATTATTAAATACACAAATATCCTGGTAATAACACATTTCCCAGAAATTGAGTGGAATTCTAAAATCGCAATAAGCACGATATGAAAACAATGTTTTCTATAAATAAAGTTGTTTGTGGGTTCTCTATAATTCCAAGCGATTTTAGGAGTTAAACATTGCCTAGAAATTGTGTACAATGACGGATTTCATACACTTCCGTCAACATAATAATTTCTAAAGAGGAAAGATTTGTATTTCTGATTTTCTATATATGTTGAAATAACTCAAAAACTACTAAATCGATTTCAAATATTCATTCACTATTAAACAATCTACGTAATCAGCAGACTAGTATATCTGGTACATGTTTAAATTTTCGTTCTAGATAGCGGTTGGCATAGGTCTAATACTGAACAGCCGGTACGACGTCAAAGACGAGAAGGAGATCTGCAAAGCTGACAAGATCAACAACATGACTGTCCTCGGTATCTTCCTCATCACCATTGTGAATGTGTTCATCACCTCGTTCAGTGTCGCGACGCCGACGGCTGTGGCTGCGGTGGGCGCGGCTGTGGTGCAGCAGGCCGGCTGATAACTTCACTGATATCTCACGTAAACTGTCTCTCTTCTATTGTATTGCTGTCACACTCCTGTTTGAATAAAACAGCAATAGCAAATACTGAACCCGACCACAATAACATGATAGCAATCTTTCGACTCGTATAGTGTACATGAGGCGAGTCAGATTTGTATTATCAATGCAATATTGTAATAGAATTATTTTAAATACTGTTAGATTAATTAATAATTATCATCATGCATGAATATGATTTTGTTTTAGTAAATTCATAACATTCTTTCGTATATTCTGTAAGTGGTTTGTGTTAAACATTGCTCAAATATTTACTACATTGATTTATATATCATCATCACCAGCTCACTAGAAGTCCCCACCGAGGGACTCGGAGCCTACCCCGAGTAAGGGGTGACTAGGTCATAGTAAACCATGCTGGCCAAGTGCGAGTTGGTTGACTTCACACATATCTTTGAATTTCTTCGACGATATGTGCAGGCATCACGTTTTCTTTCACCGTAAGAACGTCGGGTAAATTCTGTACGTAAGAAAATTAGAAAAATCGAAAATCACATTGGTACACATCGGGATTTGAACCCAAGACCTGTAGATTACAAGTAAAGTGCTTAAACCACTGAGCCACCGACGCTCGATTTGTATATAATGGACGTAATTATCTTATTGTCATGATCAAAATGTAGAAACTTTTTTAACTTTACTTGCCGTTAAATATTATATATTTTCTAAAGACAATTACTAAAGACGAAAGACAAATTTGTAAATTTTGCTTGTGATTGTTTAAATTTGGTAATATTTCTATATTAAATAAATTCTCTAGTCTAGATATTGTACATAGTTAAATTATTGCAGGCTAGATGGATTTATACCTTTTGTACAGGCTGTATAAAAGACAGTTATACCGTTATTTTAACTTGTTTTAGTTTTAATTTGCGCTTTTCAAATGAATGTTGGATCAATAAATCACGCATTTACTAATTAAGATTATTGTAATAGAATCCATCTTTATTAGATCTGAATTTTGATCTTTTTAATACCACCTGTTTAAGATTATATCGTTTTTAGCACTTATTTTTGTAAATGATTTTTATTTAAGATTACACAATAAAATAACTTGAACTGATTTGATGTTTTATTTCATTTTGTATTTTTTATCTGTGTAACAAAACAAAACATGAAAGTAAGTACCTATATGAGGATGCTTTCATTTATTGTCTGTACGTAGTTACAATACAATGTATCGACAAAAGAAAGCAAAACGTGAAAGTGAAATTTTGTTATTGTATGTTATTTCTAAACGTTTTAACAAATACTTAAGCGTGGTGTAATGTAATTTACACTTCTTGCTTCATATAATAATACTTTCTTATATTTCTTATAGATTTTCCGTTTTGGGTATTTTCTGTTCATATTTCTAAAGAGGAAAATCTACTTTTATATTTTTCTTTCCACAATTTGAATAACAAAAAATAGTAAAAAACAAACATATCGTTTGTACATTTAAAAACAAAACGCAATAGCCATCGATTGAGTACACGTCCCAGTGAAGCGGTGCTGATGGTGACCTCTGGCTGCGGGTGCCCTGGCGCTCCGCTGTCAGCTAACGGCGTTATAACTCGCGACCGGTCCTACCACATCCCATACCGCTTAGTAACTGCAGCGCTGCAAGCGCTTAAATCTAACGATATACTAAAAAATTGACGTATTTTACTTTGTTAAGGCGACTTACGTAACTTAAACCAAGATAGTAAAGAAAGTAAACCTGAAACTAATTAGCAATCTAGTGTAAAGACAATCGTTAAAGCAGTAATGCTGGGTTGCTGAAGTTACAATTTATTTTATTACTTCATGAAGCTATGGAACCAAAAACACTAACGAATGGTTAAAAGTAGCTGGGAAACCGACCATAAATGAAGTTACTGATGATTAAAATAGCTTTCATTAAACTCTCGATCTGTTATCGTTTTTTATGTTGTTTTCAAGACAGATTAAAATGCAATTAGTGAAACTCTTTTACAAAAATACGTTGAAACATACCCAATTTAAAATTAGTAAACAGCAGCGCTAAAGCGGCTACATTGTAGATTGCCACTTGTATGTTTCCGTTTGATTTAAAGTTATTTATGATAAAAGTTTGATTTTATTAACTTTATCAAGATAACGGTACTCGTGATACTTTGAATTACAGACTTTCCCAAATGATTAGTTAATTAAGGTCACCTGCTCTCGGTTAGAATAAGTAGTTCAAATCATAAATTAAAAAGAGTAGGCGTTATAAATTCAAAACACGGGCGCCAACCCATGGTCCAGGCTAGATCTGAGGTTCGCTACCAGTAATATGGTTAGTTAAGTGGTTTTTATATCTATTTTGCATTTTTCAACTCTCTAGAGGGAGAAAGAGGTAGCTGTCTCATACGTTATCTCCTGGCGACGATAATTGTTCAAAGGTATTAAATTATTTTGATATTTTAACCACCAGAAAAAGTAGGATTAATGTTTTTAAAGGAAGAGTTTGTTAATATAATATTTAAGACTTCAAACAGGTGTAAATAATTGTATTTGGTATCAATGTTGAGTAGAAACTTAAACGATAAAATAAACCAATTACAGAATATTTGGAGACCAAGTTACAGTTATTTTTTAATTAAATATGTATATTTAAATGAATTCGTTCAACCAGTTTGTATAAACCAATAATAAATAGCGGCTTTATGTAAACACGGTCGTTGAACCTTAACTTTGTGAGTAGAAATAAGTTTTTGATAGTTTAAGTTAAGTTTTCCTGTTCACGTTCTAACAACTACGTGTAAAAGTTGCTATTTGCAATAAGTAGTGATTCTTTAACATTGAGATGACATTTCATGTTTCTAGAACGTGTAACTAATAACGTAAATAAGTGGCATTTAACACTAAATAAGTTATTGTAACAACAACCCGATCAATAGATCTTTTATTCGAATGTTAATATCCCTCAACTCTACCAGAGATTTCAGGTTTATTACTTAAAAATGTTTGAGTGTCCTATAATATTGCTATCACAATAAATTTGTTAAAAAACGCAAAATATCTTTAATTAATCTAAACAAAATTACACATTCATTATTCCTATTATAGAGACAAAGTTACCTGGATAATCAAAAATGTAAGATTCAATATCCTTTTACAAAGTCCGATTTTTATTGAATTGATTTCAGGTCGTTTACCTCTGAAAAATATCAAGTTCTTTCAAAAGCGCTGCAGTCAAAACCCTTTACTAATGTGACAACAAATTTTACCTAAAAAAACAAGATTATTTGTGAGTATAAACTGTGTAGAAAAATGTAGAACTATATAATAATAACTAAGATATGTAACCGGAATGCATTGTACCCTAGAGAATTTAACCACTCTGATGCGTTTTTAAACTATATACAAAATTAACTTTTAAAGGAATTCTTAGTGAATCGTATGGTCACACCAATATTTTAAATCAGTACAATTATTATTACTGGAATTAACCCATATAAAATATACAAAATACAACATTCAAAAGATGGAAAGAGGTTTAAGCTCTTCGACTTCTTTTTTTTTACTTTCTACATTGGCCTAATAATGATCCCAATTTAATAAAAATGAGAAAAAATGTGCCAATCGTGTTAACTTTTACTGCAACTACCAATTCTGTATGTTCTTTATTTTTAGCAAACAATAAACTAATAGTGCAAATGTAAGTGTTTATGTTATTCTCGGTCGCATCATCTCAATGCGGACTGTGTTGGTATGCTGCGCACGCGCAGGTCCGTGCTAACTCACTGACCCACAACACAAACATCTCCTAGAACAATGTACAGTATTTGCGACTAACAGTTTCGCAGTACACATCACATTGACAAATACAATCGTACTGAAGATGTTTTGTGAATTTGCAATTCAATTTATTTGTCATAATTTCCCTTATCTATACAATTATTTAGATAATTTCCATTTCCCTGTATTTCAATAGCCATATAAGTGGATAATTACAAATTATTAGAAGAGAAATACAAAATGAAAAACATTGATTTTGCACATAAAAATTTTATAGTTATCATAAAACTTAATAACTTATTTTAGAGATAACCTCTTAACTCTGGCCAGTTTTATTAAAGGTACATAAGGCAATATGGTCCGACCATTATAACTGTGCCTCTCAACACGACGATGTCAATTTCGTGTTTTTGTCGATGGGACCCGAGAGGCAGACGGGGAGGGGAGCGGTGGTTGACCCGCCAACTGACCATACCAAGTTCCGAAGAAATAAAAATAAAAAAAACAATTGATTGTGTTTTCATTTAATTCGTACATATTAACCATGTTAAGAAAATTAAACTCTACCATAAGTAGCTACAGAAAATGTACAAAAAATAATGCTTTTATTCTATGTGTATTCAAATGGTCATACAAAAGGACCACATTAATTTAAATATCGCCTTGGCCAAACTGACTTAGCCTTTCTTCAATATAATAGTATTCAAGTTGACATCTATAAATCTATAAAGCATAAATACGCTTCTAGCAAATATAATTGTTGATCAATGTGAATAGGTTTAGGTTTAGGTTAGGTTCAATTTTACTGTAATATAAAATATTTATTACACCTTTTATTATCGTTCATTCGGTAAAGAGCTATTTACCAAAGGTATCTTTAAAAATCATTAAAACGTGTAAGACAGAAGTCTTGCCTCATAAGTGATAACGAGATTCGAACAGGTTACAAAACTGCAGATACATACCTTACCCGCTGCGGGATCGAACCCCAAACCGGTAAGTTCAAAGACCGACTTCAAATGTTAAAACCTCGATATCTTTTTATTCTTACTTCATTGTTACTAAGAGAACTAAATCTGTAAATGTTTGTCTTGATTTCCAGAAATGGAACGAAACACTTTTAATGTTAAGTTACTTACTAATCTCCACTTATGGCTTGTGCATATTTAACAGATAAAACTTAGAACATAAACAAATAAATTTAAGATATTTCAAATTCTACCGTAACAAAAGAGCAACAAATTGATTCTATTAGAATTTTTAGGCAAATGTAATAAAAGTTAAAAAACCGTTAACATCAAACATTTGTTATAACAGCTAGTATCTTGTCAAACTATACAAATTTAGTTTTACGACTTCGCGGAATACCTTAGCATGTTTAGTACTGCTGCGGACAAAATGACTTTCTCTTCGTTATTTTACATTTACAACCCCTCGATAACTAACACTTTAAAAAGTTCCCACTGTCTTGTTTAAAAGTATGTATCTTGGTTAAGTTGGTATTACATTTTGTACAACAAAAACTTCCTTATGTTGTGAAATAAACAATGGCGAATGTACAATAAATAACCAGCTCTATAATTTAGAAATAAAAAGTTCACTGGCCTATTCCAAAAGCAGAGCTTTGAACAAACCACGCCTCTCCTGGAAATTAAAAAACCTCACAACAAAGAATTACGTGTGAAATTCACATTCAGTGGAATGACGACATAACGATCTCAAAGGTCAATGTGAAAGAATATTGTAAAAAAGGAATAACTAAAGAGAAAACTTTTAATCGTATTTAGTTCAGTGCATGAGTTTAAATGAGAGAGTGAAGCCGAGCGCTTCCGATAGTTTAAAATACAAATAGTGACAGAAACATTTAGCGAGACGCGCGCTCGGAGGGCCTGCGGCACCGTTAGGCTCCTCTTATAAATGTGGAACCGCCGCCAGCCCGGTTAGTCCGCCGTCCGCAATGAGATTATACGCACTGATACTGGTCCTGGCCGCGAGCCGCGTCGACGCTCACCCACTCGACCTCGAGCATGCGCAGGATGCCCAACCCGTCCAGGTGGCACCGGTAGAAGACACTCAGGCTGAGAAATTACGCAAAGTCCCCGATGTCATTCCCGTCGCGGTCGTGGAAGACACTCTGACAGAGATAGATGAAAATTCTAATGACTACATCCCCAGTGAGGACAAACCCAGTCCGAACATTAAACGCTTGGAGATCGACCTGAGCAACCCCGGCCCGCCGCAACGGCAGCAGCACGAGACGCAAAATCCCGAATCTTACTACGAAAGAGACTCCTTCGTAGCTGACATTAAACAAAAGCTTTTAGACACTGAAAATGTTTTCAGGAAGAGCGTTACGAATATCAACGATGACTTCCAGAATTGGGTATCGAACAGCGCACACCTTAGGACGATCCAAAGTGATATCAAAGATATGCAAAGTAAATTCCTAGCTCAGCTCGATAACCTCCAGCAGTCGGTACAAAGCTACCTCAACCCACAGAGCGCAAAGGCGGTCATCGTGGACCCCGAAGCCACCGCCAACCTGAGGGAAGTCGAAAACCGCCTAAAAGTATTAAAGAATAATTTCGAGGTTGGCGTTCAAACTCTCTCCGAAGGTGTTAAAGTTTTGGAAGCTAAGGCCGATGCTAACCCCGCCGAAACCGGCGCAACGAACCCCGCTCCTGCCAACCCTTCCACCGACCAATCGTCTAACAACCCCCTCGGCCAGGTATTCCAATTTTTCTCAAATACAATGGGACAAGCGCTTACTCAAATGCAGAATACATTCAATGGCATCATCAATCCTTCGAACCAAAACGGCGGGAGTGCCGCCGGCAATCAGCCATCGTGGAACCCCCTCCCGGGTTTATTTAATCAGCAGAGCACGACTGGCGCCCCGGCAGACGCACAGGCCGATGAAACTGCGACGCGCCCGCCCTCCGTCTGGGACAATTTCCAGCAACAGATGAGTCAATTTTTCGAAAATGGATCAAATTCATTCAATCAGTTCGTTCAAAATATAATAAACCAGGTAAGACCTTCGGCTGCCCCTCCTACGGATGCAAAACCTGAAAATGACCCAGTGGTGCAGGATAGCGCGCCAGTCCCGTCCAAACCAATCCCGGCTCCCCCAGCTCAGGTGCAACCTGAAGTTGCAGCTCAGCCACAGCCCGAGCCTGTGCAACCACAAGCTGCACAACCGGCAAAAGAGAGCCAGACGGTGTCACAACCAGGACCCATCAGCCAAATTATCCAAAACAACCCGATTGTGAAGGGTATCGTCCAGAGAATACAGAGCATCTCCAACCCGGAGAAACCGAGAGGGAAGCCTGAGAAAGAATCGGAGCCTGCAAAGCCTGAGAAAGCCTTAGATTCTTTGCAGCCAGAGGAAGCTATCAAAGAGGAAACGATCCCGGAAGCCCTTAAAGAAGAGACGGTCCCCGCTACAAAGGGCCACGGCGGATACTACGGAGGGGATGGAAACTCTGGTGAGTTAACAAAATATCGTTTATCAAAACAAAAACGCGACACATAACACATATGATAAGTAAATGGGTCTATAAACTCGCTATTTCACATCACATCTTTCACTTCAATAATATTTTATATTGATTTAATACCCTAAACAAAATCATATTTAAAATCCGACTTGCATGATATCATTTATCATAAGTATTTTCATTCGATTAATATTTTGCACGACTTTACATTCTTATTCAAATCTTCGTAAAAGTTAATAATCCAATCAGAGAGTATCTTCAAATTTTCTTTTCATCTTTTTTCTTTTTCCTAATACTGTTTATCTTCCAGCACGAATAACTGTAACCTTTATGCATGTGTCTTGACTTGCGTAGTCGCGGCGTGGACCACTTTCGCCACAACTCTTATAGGTACGATAGGGGCGCTCATCAATGGTACAACGGCAACAGTTTCTACGGCTGTTAATAGCGCCATCAACACTGTAGGCACAAATCTACAGGTACAACTGACAGCTCCCAAATTATCGTCTCTGTTATTGACAATATGGTAAACAATCGTCACTACCACGCCGTGCTAACTTGAATCTTTTATAATGTTGTATATAATATGTGGTGATGGTAGAAACAAATATAAGGAAGTTATTATTTATTCATATGATGAATAAATGTGTAATTCATAAGTTAAAAAGGTCAAATTCGTCAAAAAATTTAAAACGTAATTTGAAAGAAAGGTCAATTCTGTTTATTTTTGACTTCCGGTTAATATAAAATGCTTTTAAAATAAAAAAAATGATGGAGTTCTTAATTTGAAATATAATTCGAAAACATGCGATTTTTTCTTTTTAATACTTATCGTATGTAAGTGGCCCGTTACCAATTGACACTGTAACGAAAAAGCCGACTCTGGAGAATTCCGTTACACGTTCGATGATTTGTTTACCTTAATGATTAAACAAATGTTTGTCCTCCTTCGTGTTAACCACTATCCTCATTTAATTCTAACACTATTTAATAACTAACAAAAACGATTGACGTTCGTTTTTATTATTTTTTGTAACCTTACTTCATGTTCTTAAACCTATTTTACACAAAATACCAGTGTTTCGCATATTTTTTAGATAATGTGGACATTATTTGAAGTTCAAACATAGTGCACAGATATTCTACTTCCGTATAGAAATACACTAATTTTTCATTTCTATGTTAATCGTTTTCCTCCAAATGCCTCCTCCCAGTTTTATTTTTATATATGACTTTATTTTAATCATAACATTATGCTGTTCCAGGGGATAATAACGACAGCGACAGGATAGCCGTCAAGAAGGTAGCCCTCGAGGAAAAGATCGAGGAAGTCCCACACAAATGTCAGATGGAGAAGAAACAAGAACTTGCCAGTGATAAGGAGGAAAAGGAAACCGCTCTACTGCCCAATAAGACTGAATAGGTCCATAGTGTGATAGTAAAAAATAGTAATTTATTTAAATGTAAGTAATAAAGAAATTAAAAATTATACAATGTAGTTTGTTTTTCTATTATTAACTATAAATCTCTTATTAATAAAAAAATACTTCTCAATCAAATTGTCCTTATCCTGTCTAAAGTTTGTTTAAAGGTCTTAAAAAACCTGGTTGTTGTTTGCTCTCACGTAATTAGTAAGAAAAGACATTGGACAAATTGAGAACCTCCTGTTTATAGCCTCGGTCAAAAACATATTATAACAGTAGTTAATTTAACATTTTGTTAAACAAGTGCGACAGCACTGATTATCCAAGCTAATACGATGTTAAAATCTATAAAAGTCCTAATTGATACGATATTTATAAATAAATAAAATCTCAAGTTAACTATATTTAACCAACTTCATGTAAACCAATACCGAGCTTAGATTTTTATAATAAACTAGGTATTGCTCGCGACTTCGCCCGCGTGAATTTAAAAAATAATAAAAACATAGCTTATGTTACTAACAGATAAATTACCTTTCTAATGATCAAAAAATTTTCAAAATCGGGCCAGTAGTTTTTGAGTTATTGCAATACTTACAAAATACGAATCTTTCCTCTTTATAATATTAGTATAGACAACAAGCTTTGGCAGAGAGACTTTTTGCATTTTGAAAACAACTGATCACTGACATTGACATTCGAAATGTCAATGTCAAGAATGACACTAGTTCATGACAACAAAGACACATTACATTATTCAACATTTAAAAATCAATGCACGTTAACAAGTGTCCAAAGCAAAGTTTAAACATATTATTGAGTTACTAAATGTGAATGAAAATATACTTTTCAATATGAATGGCTTAACATTAAGGATAAGTGGAACGAATTCCAAAAAAATGAAGGGATCTTTAGCTTTTAATCCTGTTGTTTTGACTCCACATTTAATAAATAAAATAGGTTAAGTTGATTCTTTAAATATGTATTAAACGCACTTTGTGTTTTAATAAATTAAATTTTTAAAATCTTTCGCTGTTCTTTTTTTCTATCTTGTAAAACTTAAATAAAACTGCAAAGATGTATTTAAATGTTATAGTTTGTATCTTAAAAGCCATGAAATACTGAATATCTCTAATGATAAGATTGATATTTTTATTATAGTAAATGGAGACATATTTGAAAAATTTAATCAAAGCAACAGTGTGGATGAACAACTGGTCATTTTGAGAGACAACTTAAATAATAATTGTGATGAAAAAACTTTAAATTTTCTTGTTTTAATTTTCCTACACACTGAAATTAAGCATCCGGTCAAATGTTTTGTAGTAAGGTAAGCATTAAATATAGAAGAAAGTATTAGATTTCATTAAATATTCTTAACATAAACACTATCCTCAGGTATATCACAAAGAATGACCATCTCCAAGAACCATTTTCGAAAGCTTTAGCTGAAGAGATAATCAAAAACTGCTCAGTTGACAATGTTCTGTATAAAATGTACAAGGAATTTGTACCAAAATTAGCAAGCTGTATAGAAAACTTCCCAGCAGGAGCGCAGGCTATAAAGCTTGTAGAAATAAAACTTGCAGCATATTTGATAAGCAGTTTGCGCTGTTGTATAGAAACAATTAAGTAAGTAAAAAATACTTTTAAAAATTGCTTCTAACATTAGCAAATACATATTAACTTCACATACGGAATTCTGAAACAAATGTAACATTTACCTTTGTGTTACTTACAATATGACAAATGTGAATTTATTTATGGTATTTGCAGTTTAAGAACAGCCTTATCAAGTAAAACGCTGAGACATAATTTAAAGTAATTTTAAATATGGCTGTTGCTACTACATATTACATTATTAAAGAATATTTATTAAAAATTATGTTCTCATACAAATATTATAAATACGAAAGTTTAGATGGATGGATGAATGTTTGTTAGAGTTTGTATCCTTAACGCCTGAACAGATTCAGATTAAATTTGGTGTTAATGTAGAGGATAGTCTGGAAGAACACATAGGCAATTCACTTTTTATTTTTTAAATTCCACGCGGACGGAGTCGCGGGCGACAACTAGTTTATATATATTTAAAAATAGATCTAAAGCTTGTCAACATCACATATTAGCATATTTGTTTAATTGAACTATTTTCTTGTTCTATTTCCAGTTGTAAAAATTTATCTCCGACAGAGAAAAATGAAATATTTGAATTAGCTCACTTAACACTACGACTGCTGCTACATATTGTACAGAAAATTGGCAACAATAATACAGAGTTGAAATATAATTTTAATGAAATCAAATTAATTATCAAAGAGTTAATGTTTGACGATGATGTCCCAATGGATACTAAGTCAGTTTGTGGGATATTATTTTTGACTATGTATATTTTAGAAACTGGACCCAAATCATGGTGTGAGGTAAGTGTAAAATTATTATTTAGCTTTTAACCGCGGCTCCATCTGTGTGGAATTTAAAACAAACAAAATGTCGCAGCCTATGAGTTCATTCAGACTATCCTCTACATCTATGTCAAATTTCATTGAGATCTAATCAGCCATTCAGGCTACAAACTCTAACAAACATTTATTCATCCAAACTTTCGCATTTATAACATTAGTAAGATTTACATAATTTAGATGTTTTTTCATTATCTTATTCATGAGGCAAATTGCTGCCTGGGACATAAAAAAACATGTTTAAAATATTTTAATAAACTTGAATTTGTGTTCTTTAATAAGGACTTGTACCAACTTTTAGGTGTTTGCTCCTAGCAAGCAGGAGATGTCAGAACTAATGTGCACTGAAAGCGGTCAGCTGAGCTTACACTCTGCGATGGCCACTGTGGTCTCAGCGGAGGAACTCAGCACCGCCAATGTGGGAGACCAGTGCGCACTGCTTCTACTCACTGATAACATTGTGGCTATTGGAGAAAGGTTGGTACATTACAGAAAAATGAAATAACTTATGTTTATTTATTACTTTATTTAGCCATAAAACATTTTTTTTATGTCTACTTCTACAGACTCTTGGTTCGTACTCTTTTTTGCACAGTTTGTTTTTCTTTTCTTTTTTTTTCTTTTGTTGTCAACATATTTTGATTGACCAAAACGTATTTGTTGATTCCCTTATCTTGGTACCTTCGATTTGCTCTCTTTAGTCATTTTGCTCACATTTTCCATGTTTCAAAGGGTATATAGTTGGCCATTAAATGTTTATCAATACTTATATTTTATCAATAAACTAGCTTTCGCTTGCGACTCTGTCTACGCGAAATTAAAAAAAAAAAAACAAAAACAAACTGGCTTTCTCTACCTTGGTGTTAATTATATGTTTTTAATAAAATATTCCAGAACTAACTCGGAGTCTACATTCACATTGGGTGTGACGAGGACATTGGTCCAGATAAGCAGGACGCTGGCGAGCTGCGAGCCCCAGCTCGGTCTGAAGCTGGTGGACAGTCTGCTGGTGTTCGTGTGGTCTCACCTCGAGCACTACATGGACAGCGTGCGACATCTCACCGCACAGATACTGGGACATATCGTTAAATACTGCACTCATCTTAGAAACAAGGGTAAGATAATACAATTTCTTTTAATATTACTAGATTTCTATTAATTTACTAATATTTCTTTATCATTCCAACTAAGCTCTAGGCTTGGTTCACGACAATAGTCCAATGGATTCGAACCCTCGACCACGTGATCGCAAATTCATTAGGCTATTGGCGTTTTGATTTAAATTTTGTTCTTCAATTATTGCTTAAGTTAGTAAGTTGTTCACAGAATTAAAACTGATTTTTTTTTCTGCAAAATTACTTAGTAATTATTTAGACATTTTTTGTTAAAAAATAACTTATGGTTGTTATAGGGTTAACTTCTTAATTGCATATTGTGTTCTTAATAGTTCTTAGTTATTTCTTACTGGGTTTCCCCTGCGACTGTGTCCGCGTTAGAAAAAAAATTATTTAAAAAAAAAGAATTTAGAAAAAAAACCGTCTATGTACTCTTCACACTTTACTTTATATCTACGCTTTTCATAGAGAATCAGCTGTTTAGTCTACAAACTCCAAGAAGCATCCATTTAATCCATCCATCTAAACTTTCGCATTTATATTAGTAAAAAAATTTGATGAAAATCATACTTTTTTTATATTTTAGCTTTGAGTTTTGGCTATTTTATATTAAAAAGAAACTTTTATTTAGGTGACGAGTCAGGGTTGGACAAGTTGTTTAGTGCGCTGACGTCACTGGACACGAGCCGCAAGAGCTATTACGTGTGCGTGACGTCACTGTGCGGCGAGCTGGGCGCGCGCTGCCTGCTGCACAGGCTGCCGCACGCCATACCACAGCTCATCGCGGCTTTGGACGTGCAAGCTGTGCAAGCTAGTGTGAGTATTGAAGTTCTAACACTTAACACAATGATCATTTATTTATTTATTTATTAGGTACACCAATTGTCTGTTTAAAATTCACAACCAAAAATAAGTATATTATAGACAAAGAAATACAAAAACACAGAACACACAGATGATAGACGTATACAGCGCTAACAAGAAAATATTTTTTTTCATAACAAATGTTGAATCAGATAACTATCACATATTACACACATACACACACTTTGAACATAAATTACAGAGAAAACAGTAAAAGAATAAAAGAAAATTTAAAAGTGTCACTGCTGGCAATTTAAGCTGAGATCCCTTTAAGGTTTAATAATTAATGTTAAGTACTTAAGATAATTGTAAATACGTAAATAATTAGCTGTTTCTTCACGGCTTTATCTGATACACAAAACTTTGTTTTATAGGTTATGTTTTAACACTTATGATTACAAATGTCATAATACAAATACTCAAATGATAAAGAAGGACCTCGCTATTGCTTGACAATTTAAGAAACCATGGCAACCATGATTCTTTGCTCCTATTGGCTTGTGTTTTTTGTCCCTTTCTCTCTGAACAACCTTTTTCAATTCTCTTGCTCTCTAAGTTTAATAGCGTGAAAATATATAGCCTATAGCGTGTGGTTACTGTAAGGCCTTTTAATAAAAACAATGTACAAAAATACACAGTATTTGCTGAAACCCTGCATAACCAATGTGTACCATAAAACTCGATCACTATTGAGAGACTGAAAAAAATAAAAACACAAACACACTAACCCTGAAAATACACAGTTCCAGTGTAACAGATTTATTTTACAGCAATAAAATAAATAAACACTGTAACTAGTCCGTGGTATGTGGTTAGGCGACAACAGCTCTAGAGAACCTGCTGCAGAAGCACTCCCGCGAGTGCGGCAGCGCGGAGCTGCAGCAGTGCTGGCTGCTGCCCATCCTGGCGCACGTCGCTCACCACCACCTCGACTCCTCGGTCCTCCACATCCTGGAGAATATCCTCCTGCAAGCTGTCAGGCTTCAACATAATGTTTTAGATTGTCTGTGAGTAGAAGAATCTGTTTTACTGCGAATCGATAATAAAATTGTTAAAGTATTTGTGTATGTTACCAAAAAACTTAAAAACTACTAAAGAGATTTCTGAAAGCATTTCACTATCAGAAAGCAACATTATTACATAGTGATATAGGCCTGTGTTTAGAGATAGATTTTTTTTATTTCGATATATGGAAAGAAATAATTAAATACCTGCACTTTTTTAGTAAATTAAAAAAGCTTCTATTTTTTCAGATTACCGTATATAAAAGAACTGTCGACCACAAATGAGAACGGTCGTGAAGATCTGAAATGTGTCTTAATGTTATTAAGCGTAGTTCGAAAGTCCAATGCCGTTGGAAAAGTGGTGGAAAAAGAGGGGGAGTGGAAAGGTCTCATTGGCTATGATGTACTTAAAATGGCCGCTGTTAGTGCTGTCGATGAGGTTAGGTTTCAATATCTCATTAAGAGCCTGCGCACACCTTTGACTAAACTACCGCACAACTTTAGTCTCGCTGTGATTCCTTTGCGCTGATGTAAAGGTGATCATTACTCGATTTTCAGTTGTGCGACTAACAGTTGAATTGGCTGCGAAACAATCGACGATCGCACAACCATTGTGCGATAGTTTAGTCATAGATGTGCGCACGCTCTTAACATTTGAATCTGTCAAATCTTTTAGGTTATGTAGGGTGACCAGTAAAGTACGTTATTTTTATGAAATTCTCCTTACAGACTCGTGTTCTGACTCTATCTTTAATAGTGGAATCTCCGAAGAGTACGGAGGCCTTTACTCCTGAGGAGTTGGAGCTGGTGCTGTGGTACCTCAAGTACAACGTGAATGCACAGGCTCCCAATCTTCGACAACTTACACTTTCCCTTATGAAAAAGGTAAGATACCTAAGGAATTTCGGTTTTTAAGGATTTTTCCTATTTTTTTTATTCTCACCATTAATAACACATTTTCTTTAAAAAAAACGCAACTAGAGCTATTTTTTTCCTTTTTTTTGTTTATTCAAATTGTAATTATTGATATTTTGTTCCAGTTCTTGAAACGTCTAGAAGATAGTTACAAAGTACTCAGAAGGCAAAACACACCTAATGGCAGTTGTGATAAGAGCGATTATTATGTAACATTTTTGGAGGATTTACGAGAATTCTGCTACGATTGTTTGATGTTTGGTGCTAACTACAGCCGGCGCTATGTGGCCCTCCAGCTCCTGGTCTGGTGCGAGGAGACAAACTACGAAGGTTACCAAAGGTATACTATGTTTTTTTTCCAAATTTATCTACAGTTGTCCACAAAACAGTTTTTTTTTCGGTTATAATTGTTAATTTCTTGTTGTTTCCAAAAATAATTGTCACAAGAATGTATACGAGAATACTGGTCGTATTGTAATTTCACAAAAAAATAAAAAAATGTTGTATTTAAAAAAAATATAGTCCTAGTCAGAGAATAAATACAGCCTTAAAAATCTTTAAGAAGCAGTGTTATGTATTTCAAAATCTTACATTGTATATTTATTATTGCAGAACATGGAAAGCTGATTATGTAGAAAATTTATTACAATGCCTTGAAGATAGCTACGAGTCAAACAAGATGTTTGCATTGAATATCCTACTGACGTGTCCTCGGGAACTTGTAGAGGTGAAAAAACTTAAAAAAAACACTTAATTAATAAAAAAAAACATTTTTTTAATTTTTTAAATACGAAAAATTCAATAGACTCCAGTTTTAAACTTGACACGTCGTATAAAGGAGCATTCTTATAACCCATGTGCCAACTTTATATATCTGTGCAGAGTGGGAGAATTGCTGCGGGCTTGGATGTGGAGTCCATCCTGAGTCAAGCCTCCTCCATGAAGCCCCCGGATTGCGTGTCTGCGGCATACAAGCTGCGCCTGCTGGTGGCTCGCTGCCCGCAGCTGCTGCAGGGAGACACGTAAGAATATAACTATTGCTTCAATTTGTAGACAGTATAATATCGCTAAATATATTATAAAAAAAGTAGTTGAAGCTGGGGAAAAGGAAAAGAGAAGTACAATCAAATTAAAACAGTATAAGTAAAAATGGTCCTTCGAGTCGGATCTAATCATAGGGCCTGTTAGCGTTTCTGTCTAACAGATGGCGTTGTGACCTGTATTGTTTTATATACATATGCAATTTGAAAATCACATTGTTACATGGCGGGATTCAAACCTAGGACTTGTAAATTACAAGTCAAGTTAAACCTTTGAGCCACTAATGCTCTGGGTTAAAGTTATTGAGTTAAACAAAGTTTTTTACAAACATGATCTACGTATTGTGTCGTTGTTTTGTTGTTTATTTTGTTTTTTTGTAAATTGTGTAATAATATTAAACGAAGTAAGGGAAGTCATCGGCTTCTTTAATAAAGGAATCAACCTAGTAAGGGAGGCAAGAATATACACGTATAATTAAACAACTTATAGTCTATAAAAATATAAATTAAAACAATCTTATCTTAGTAATATTATAAATGCGAAAGTTTAGATGGATGGATGTTTGTTAGATTTTAAAGCCTAAACTGTTGAACGGATTTCGATGGCATAGATGTAGAGGATAGTCTGGAAGAACACATAGGCTACTCATTTTTTTTTAAATTCCACGCGGACGGAGTCGCAGGTGAAAGCTAGTTAAATTATAAATGAATTGTCAGTGATGTGGCCGAGTGCGTGGTACACGGCGCGCTGCGGCGCGTGCTGCACGTGCTGCTGGGCGAGGTGCGCGCGTGCGAGCGCAGCGTGCTGCGAGCCGCACGCCACGCGCACATGTACGGCGCGCTGCACTGCATGCTGCACCTGCTGCAGCAGCTCGACCCCAGGTCGCATACCTCAACATCCCGCTGTCTTAACTACGTCTCTGTTTGTCTTTTTTTATAATATAAGGTAACAAACGAGCAAGCGGTCATCTGAATTCGACAAAATGGCGAAACGACGGCTGCCCATAGGAATCCGCAATGGCAGATGCATTGCCTACCCCTATCCGACGGAGAAGACGCACATAAAGAGGTATTTCCCCTTTCTGTGCATCTCCTCCACCGTCAAATCCACTTCCCCTTCCCATCCTCTCCTTATAAGAAAAGGGTGGTAAAGAGAAAGGGACTTAAATTGACTCCCTCTTTCTGTCATTGTAATCTAAGATATTTTAAGTATTGCATGTTTGTAACATCAGAATATCTGCACGAATCTTGATGAAATTCGACATACATGTAGATGTAGCCTGGAAGAACTCAAAGGCTACAAATTAAGTTTTTTATAAAGCGCGGATTTGTGGACAAAAGCTAGTTTAACTAATGTTGTAAATGCAAAATTTTAAATGGATATTAGAATCTGTAGCCTACTGCTGAATGGAACGGATGTCGATGACATTTGGCATTCAAGTGGAGGAGAGTCTGGACGAACATTAAGACTATTTACTTATGTTTCTTGTAATTCCACACGCTCGAAGCTAGACAAAAAACTAGTTATAAAAAGTGTTGATGTTGTAGAGCAATATCAGAGTCGCAGCCGTGGTCGCAGCTGATAGCGGAGATAGTGGAGACGTGCTTCGCGGTGAACGCGGCCGTCGCCTGCGTCGTCAACAACTCCTCGCCCGAGGGACACCTGCCCATGGACATGGCGGGCCACGGCCTCGCTCACCTGCAGTACGCATCTCTCACTTCTAGCAGGACGATCTGACAGATATCGACGGATTCTAAGATTTCAATCTATTCAGGAATGAAGAGTTAGAAGATAAAGGGGCGGTAACGGCTCAAATGGTGCTGCTCTGCGCTTGGAGGTCGGTGAAGGAGGTGTCTCTGGTGCTGGGCTGCATCTCCTCGCGGCTGAGCATCGCCGGCGAGGAGCGGGAGCGCGGCACGCTGACGCAGCAGCAGGTGGTGGCCATGGGGGAGCACTTCACCAAGCTGCTGGCGGAGACCAAGCACCGCGGGGCCTTCGAGCAGGCGTATGTCGGCTTCACGCAGCTGCTGGCCAGGTATAGAATTATTTTTATCCAGACATTGAGAAACTTGTCAGCGTGACGTCTCACTTTCCTGCCCCTACTACTACACATTACCAATGCCTCACATATAGTTTTAGTTTCTTTTTTAGTAACTCTAAATATTTCCATACTTGTTTATTTTTTCTGTTATTGTAAGTTTCACTGTGCTCTGGGGCAAGGGCCCGGTGATCCATCGCACAGGACGCCACCCTAGTTTGGATACCAGTACCCTGCCCAAGGGGAAATTAATAAAGCCATTTTATTTTTTTTTATTTCCACGGCGCCATTGTCGTTGTTAATATTAATATGACGCCATGACAGTTTAAAGTGTTTACGCGGGACTTTTCAAATTGGAATTTTAAAACACAAAATACACGATTTAATTCTTTTTTTTAACTTAAAATTGTAATCTTTCTTTTTACTTATAGACTGTGGAAGTGTCGCAGCAGCAGGCTGCACGCGCTGCCGCGGGACTGGCTGCGCTCGTTGCTGAGCGCGCTGGGCGGGGCTGCGGGCGGGGCTGCGGGCGGGGCTGCGGGCGCGGCGGGCGGCGCGCTGTGCGCCACACGCCGCTCCGCCGGCCTGCCCTTCATGATACAGGTTTCTTTATTAACTATACTAATATAACAAAATAACATACACTTCTTTATGTAGCATAACAATCATAGTAAATTTTCGAATCTTTCTTTCTTAATAAAGAGGCTTACACTTACGACACACTTTAAGCTATATATTTTAACGCGATTACATGTAAAGGATGAGTAAATAGAAAATAATTATTTGCCAGAAAGGGATAACACTATAAGCTAATAACAAAAATTTATCATGGTTTAAAATTTCAACCAATAGGAGGACCCTTTTTATCAATTGAGCATTTGAATTTTGTCAACAGCAGGCTTAGAGACTTGAGAGTAACGTTCCCTACATTACTTAGTAACCAAATCATTATTTAGCATATTTCTGTTTTACTCGTGATATATTTCCAGGCGCTAGTAACAACGGAGCTGCAAGTGAGCGAGAAGCCGAAGTTTTTCCACGAGTGCGTTACAACATTGATGCGGCTATGTGGCGGCGGTGGCGAGGGTGGTAGCGGTGGTGGCGGTGGCGGGGCGGTGCGCGCGCACTGCAGCAACGTGCTGCGCGCGCTGGTGCGCTGCGCCGCGCTGCAGCAGGCGGTGGCGCCCTACGTGGGGGAGGTGCTGCTGCTGGCGCTGCGGGGCTTCGACCGCCCCACGTGGGAGGTAACGTGTACAGTCGTGGAAACACGTGGTGTAACATTTTGAAAACATATGTTTCTTACACAACAAACAAAAACAAAATTCGCTCTTACAAACCAATTATGTAGTAATTAATTGTGTAAACGACATAATAATAATGAAATAATTAACATTTACAGACACATTTATAAACTACTTCAAATTGGTTGTAATGCCCAATGTGTACAAAAACATTCAAACGACTGAGTTATGTGGAAATCCACGGTGTTCCACTTTTGACAAATTGCCTTGCTTTGCAACGAGACAAGCTCCGCCTCTAACAAATAACTAATTTGCTGAATGCAACCATAGCGATTATAATAAATAACTAGCCGTGTCTAAACGACTTTTTCTCCTACATTTATAAACTGAGTTATACTCTTTTGTTCCGCGTCTCGTCGCAAAATATCAAAACGATAGTTGCTTAAGACACCGACAAAATCTTTGATTGTACTTTGAGATCTGAAGGTTTATTGCAATATGCAGGAACGCAACTCTTCCACGCTGCTGCTGAGCGCGCTGGTGGTGCGCGTGTTCGGGGTGGCGCGGGGGGGTGCGGGGTGTGCGGGGGGCGCGGTGCACGCACGCAACCGCATGACGGGCCGCATGTTCTTCCTGCGATATCCCCAGTTATATGACTTCATGCTGGTCATTATCATTGTTTATTTAACTAGCTCTCGACCGGGACTCTGTCCGCGTCAAATTAAAAAGAAATGCCTATGTATTCTGCGAGACTATTCTGCCAAATTTTATGGAGATCCAGTTTAGGCAGTTATAGCAGTTTAGGCTACAAATTCTAACAAACATCCATCCATCTTAAATATCGTATTTATGAAATCAAAATGGTGTCGATTTGCTATTTCAATTAAATGATTGAATGTGTATAGGAGAAACTAAAAGAAGCGAATGAGAGCGAGGAGTGTGAGCTGCAGAAGCCGTCGTTGTTCCCCGTGCTGCTGCTGCTGGGCAGGCTGTACCCCTCCGCGCTGGAGGGCACCGTCTCCAACCTTAAGGTATTCTATTCTTTTTATATAAAAGAGATTTTTTTGTATCTGTACGTTACTTTCGTCAAGTTACTTTTTGAAGGTGATCTTAGCTTCTGGTGATCTTTCCTTCTAACTGTCTACATTAGATGTTTTAGTTTTTAATACTAGCTGTTTATTTAACTTCATGAGTTTTACCTTCTATCTGTCTACTTAACTACATGAGTTTTACCTTCTAGCTGTCTACTTAACTTTGTTAGTTTTACCTTCTAGTTGTCTACTTAACTTTGTTAGTTTTACCTTCTAGTTGTCTACTTCGTGAGTTTTTTCCTTCTAGTTGTCTGTTTTAACTTTTTAAATCCATTAGTAACTCTTCGCCGTATTGCCATGTTTGAGTGTGAAGTGGCGTGCTGTATGTGACGTGTGTGTGCAGCTGTCGCGGTTCGCGCAGTGCGTGGTGCGGTGCGCACACAGCGCGGCGCTGCGCACACGCCGCCTGGCCGCGCGCGCGCTGCCGCCCCTGCTGCCGCCCGCCAAGTAAACATACTATACAATTACTAGCTTTCGCCCGCGACTCCGTCTGCGTAGAATTAAAAAAAAGTGTGTAGCCTATGTGTCCTTCCGGACTTTCCTCTCCATCAACTACAATTTATATGTGAATGTAGGTTTAAACTTTTACGTTATAAGTAACTTATTTTGTAATTCAATTCCAGGTATATCCCACATATTGAAGAAATGCTCTCTTTGTTATGTGATCAAAATATCAAAAGGAATTTTTGTCACGGGATACTTTTGCAGGTATGTCGTATAAGTAAAAATACTACATTACTTAAAGTAACATAATATAAATGTTAGGTCTTATCTTCCCTACTTTTAGACCTAGCTTAATACTTTATCAGGCGACGTCTATCAATTATATTGCATATTTTGTCAAACATCCATCCATACAAACTATCACAAATAGCTTTCGCCCGCGACTCCGTATGCTTTGAATTAAAAAAACGAAAGTAGCTTATGTTTTCTTCCAGATTATCCTGTTTATACCAAATTTTATCGAGATCCGTTTAGCAATTGACTACAAACTGTAACAAACATCCATCCAAACTTTGGTATTTATTTCCCCAGGTGACAAGGCTACTGGAGAATAAACCGGAGAAGTTGTCGGTGCCGGAGGCGGCAGGGCTGCAGCGCCGCCTGCAGCGCACGGCCTGGCTGCTGCAGCCGGCCGCCGCGCCCTGCCACCTCCTAGCGCATCAATACACCAATATGATTAACCAGCTCGTTTGGAAGTCAGTTTCATTTCACTCATCTTTTATTCTTTATTTATCACCATATTTCCCCCTTTTTAAATATTTTAATTCGCCAAAATAGCGAAAAGACCCATAGACTGCATATGCAGATGTGTTTAGATGTGTGGAGACGCACAGAAAAATATTTTTCTTAGTTATGCGTCTTATCCCAAATACTAATGAGTAAATTTGACAGAAGAGGGGCGTATAGAAACAGAAAATATTCATTTTACCCTAAGTCATTTTTATTAATTTATAAATTTTATGATATATTATTTTTTATTGATTTTTTTTCAGATTTCCATCATTTATAAATACGATTACGATAAACAAAATAATTTACTATCTCGATGTAATGTTAAAAAGTAAAGATATGTTGTCTCTGCCCGGAAAAGACGTGTGTTTGGCAAACGCAGCCAATTTGTACTATGTATTGACTAATAAATACAAACAAAATGACGATACAATAAAAATTATATATATATGCTTATCACATTATAGTTACGAAGTGACATTAACGGCTTTGAACTATTTACTGATTTTAAATAACGATTTGGAAATCGAAGACGCGTTTCAGGAGCATTTAACTATTTTATCAAAAGAAAACAACATTATCGACGAATTAAGAAAAGATGAAAATTATACTAAAACATTATACAATGTGTTGAAAACAACAAAATATTTAGAATGCAAACAGAAATGCTTGAAATTGTTGTCGTTAGAAAGGAATAGTTACAAATATATGATACAAGATGACGTAAGCGATGATGACGTCATACGCTCGCTGACGAGACTCGTGACGTCAGAGCATGAAAATATGACCCATATTTACCTCTACAGTCTTACTTGTTTCCTTACGGATAAGATGAATGAGCCTCAAGTGAAAGGCGACCTTATTCTTGAAGCAATAAGAACGATATACGATTGTAGTTCATCCCGCAACAGTTTGAGTACCAGGAATGTGGTTGCCAACTTTTTAGAGAAGAATTTTGAAATGTTAATTGATTTGGAATTAAATGATTTATGTGAAGAAGATAAATGTGAGTAATTTCAAAGTTATTTCAAAGTTAAGTGCGTATTTAAAAAAAAAGGTCATGCGTATGATATTGTTTTTTTTTTTAATATTCCAAACAAAACTGCGAATGTCAAATTTTAAAATAACAAATGGTAACGAAGACCTCTGCCAGTGGCCAAAAATTACCGTTACAATGGCAATCTTCCTTCTTTGCTGCTATTGACTAGTTTTATCCCTTTTTTGCGTAATTTTTTAAATTAATTCACCCTCTAGATATCGTAAAAAGTAACCTATAGCGTAATGTATTTAAAAATAATGATTTAAAAGTATGCTGTTATTGAGACCCTACATAACAATGTGTTTATGTTTTATTATATTAGTATTGATGTGATAGTTTTTACATATTGTATGGCGACCAACGCTAGCTGTATGTGGTCCAGTTGAGTTGGAGGCGCGGCTGTGGGCGGCGCTGGTGCTGCTGCTGGAGGACGACGAGGCGGCGGTGCGGGGCGCGGCGGCGCGCACTGTGGGGTGCGCGGGGTGTGCGGGGTGTGCGGGGCGCGCGGCGCAGCAGCTGCGGGCGCGGCTGGGGGCGCGCGCGCGCGTCGCGGCGCTGCTGTGCGTGCTGGCGCTGCTGGACTTCGACTGTGAAGTCTGCTTACCCGACTACACGCTGGACGAGGTCTCATTTTAAATATACACATGTGTTACAAAAAATATATTAATGATTTGTGTATGCAATCCGAAAAAATCAATTTGGGTTTAATTAGAGAATTAGAGATTAGTCAATAATTAGAATCCATCTTACTTCTTACTAATATTATATCCTAGCTTTTACCCGAAAATCAGTTTGCGTGGTATTAAAAAGAAAAAAAAACAAGAAAAGTGAGTAGCCTATATGTTCTTTCAGCCTATCCTCTACGTAAATGCCAAATTTCATTAAGACACGTCCAGCAGTTTAGGCTACAAACTCTAACAAACATTCATACATTAAAACTTTCGCATTTTTTATACATATTAGTAAGATTAGCCGAGGTAACCAGGACTGTAATGTTGTAGGTGCGAGTGTTCGACCAGAACGAGAAGTACAACGTGTTCCTCGAGGAGACGGTGTGGTCCGTGCAGTGCGCGGGGGAGATGCGCGCGCTGTGGGGGGCGGGGGAGGGGGAGATGCGTGCGTTGGGGGCGGGGGAGGGAGAGATGCGTGCATTGGGGGCGGGGGAGGGGGTGGGGGATGCATGCGCACGCGCAGCTCTCCTCGCGCAGCACCCGCACTATGCACCCACATTCACTAAGCTCTGCGGACCACATGTGGATCACTTCCTACGTCTGGCTGCTGGAGAATCTAGTTGCGATATTCCTAAAGTAAATCTGTTTGTTAAAGCTCTCAGAAAATAACAGATAAACTTTGTACGTAAAAGATATGAATTTGAGTTAAGACAATAAATTGATTCTTGTATAGATTTGCAATTTTCTTGTTTTGTGATTGTGATTATATGAAAATGTAATATAAAATCTTTATTGTTATGTGATTTAAACAATAAAACATTATTCCAAATTCATACTTCGAATTGGATAGTTAGATTACTTAGCAATTAAGATTTAAATTGTAATTTCTAGTATAATAAATAATTATAAGTTAATTGTTTTTTTTTTCGATCCTACAGCTGTAGCAATCGTAATTATGTTTCCATGTAAATGTATCAAATCTATGTAAATAAAACAATTAAATTAATGTAACACCTTTTATTTTTATTACAATCTCCATTTCTGTTTAACTATAGTAAATAAAAAGGATGCTTTGATTTTCTAACATATACAAGCTTAAAGTAAATGTTTCTTTTAAACTATCATTTCATTCAATGTCAGTTTCTTCGTAAACTGTGTATATAGGTGTCCAGGAAAGACGTGTACAATGAACTATAGCAGGTTCCTTGGTTGAAAATATGACGATTTGATCCAACTTATTATTTGTATCCAAAGTTGCTTCGTTTTGGCGCTAGAGGGCACTAAAGTTTGCTAATTATTATTCATATTTCTTCAAATATCTAGAAAGGCCTTTAAAAGATTTTTTTTATATTGAAACTTAAGTTTTCATCAAATCATCAGGGGACTCGAAAACCCGAACATCAAAATTAGTTATATTTTTGCAACCGCCTGTACAGTGTCAGCATTTTCTCAGATTTATGGAATTTAAAAGAATATTGGTCTCTGTTTATATTATAATTTGACGAACGGTTTTGATACGAAAGTGTCTTTTGTAATTTTATTGAAATCTTAGCTACCAGGCTTTAAAAGATGTTATAAATGCGAAAGTTTGGATGGATGGATGTTTGTGAAATTTTGTAGCCTAAACGGCTGAACAGATTTCTATAAAATTTGGTAGAGATATCTACAGGACATTCTGGAAGAAGACATATATACTTTTGTTATTTTCCACGCGGACGAAGTCGCGGGCGAAAGCTAGTAAATAATAAATGAAATAGTAATAAATAATGTTTACGTTCTTTTAAAGCCCGGTAATATTTTTATCAATATCTAGTTGTGCATAAGGCAACGACTGTTTATGTAACGAACACTTGATTGTTTTAATTGCATTTGTACTCGGAATATAGTCGTGAAAATAGCTTTTGAACTTCACGTATTAGCGGAACTGCGAGTACAGTCACAGTCAACGCAGGATTTTTTTATCTCGATACTTCGGTGATGTTGTAGCTTGTAACTTATTGTCTTAATTTTCATAGATAACAACGAAATTTTGAAAAAATGACTGTTAACTTATGAGTTGCATTGTATGTCCCGTAATTAAGCTCGAAATTATATACGAAAATACTGTAATGCGCCGAAACCGTTCGCTAATTAAAAATTTAAACAGAGACCAAAAATCTTTTAAATTACAGTCTATCTAAGTAAAAAACTTAACAGTACAGTACAGACGGTTACAAAAATGTAATTGAATTTGATGATTTGATGATAATTCTCTGTCCCAGAAAAAGATGTAGTTTGACAAACAAAAAACATAGTTTCAGTATGAATAAAATTTATTTAAGGATTCTCAAGATATTTGAATGAATGTAAAATAATTAACAAACTTTAGAGCCCTCTAGCGCCAAAACGAAGCAACTTTAGGATAGAGTTAAGTTGAGTCAAATCGTCACATTCACCAAGGAGTCTGTAGTAGTCCATTGTACTTGTCGTTCTCTGTCTTCTGTATAATTAAAATCCTATTTTCAATAGTAGATGGTTCTTGTAAGAAAATATCAAACTTAATAAAAAGTTCGTTTACTTTAAAAAAGTTTTGATACATACATTTACTATATACAGGTAACAAACAGTAATTTACACATTATCTATGGACAAAGTCACATTGTAATAGTCCTCAAACTAAACAAACAACATCCAATCATACAATTTTATTTCTCCTTATTCTGAACACTTCACTCGCTATCTGACTATTCTTAAACTTTATCTTCTGTTCTTTTTTCTCTACATTTACTCTGCTCATTTCTTTCACATTCTTATCCATTTCTTCATCAGTCTTCTTTGACTTTGCGACAGGTACATCCTCGTCATCCTCTCTGAATAAGTCCTTGACTGAAACCAGTCGATGTGAGTTGCCGACCCTCAGGAGTTGCTTCAGACCTCTCGAGTCCTTTCTCTCTATGAGCCTCAGCACTCCCCAGTCATCACCCTTCTTCCCTTCCAGTCCTTCTTCTAGAATCCAAGCGGCGTTCCTCACTTCAAGACGGAGTCTTTCACATTCCTCGTAACTTACATTTCTACTGACATTCATAGCTTGGTCTAGAGGATTCACTATGTACAGAGGCAGAGCGTTCGGCTTCCTGATGGGCACTCCTCTGTTGATGGAGATGGCGTGCTCCTGGAAGTCGAACTGCGCGTAGAACTCGAAGAACTGCAGCAGCAGCGTGTGCAGGTCCTCGCTGCACTGGCCGTACTCCTCCTGGGGGAGCTTGTTCAGGTCCCGCAGGAATGTGCAGTTGATGTTCTCCTCCGCTATCCTGATATCCTCTTTACCTGAAGAAAACACCTCATTATACACTATTAACAATAAAAATAATTTTATCTTACTAATATTATAAATGAAAAAGTTTAGATGGGTGGATTAGAGTTTGAAGCCTAAACTGATCTCGATGAAATTTGGCATAGCAGCAGCAGTGATTCATAGACTGACATAGCGAATAGTCTGGAAGAACACATAGTCTAGTTTTAATTCCTCAAACGGAGTTTCGGAGAGAGTTAACATAAAAATTACCAGCTCTATCAACTAAGACTTTAAGTGGGGGTAGAACGAAGCCGGTCTTCCTCTTCTGCTGCAAGAAGAAGAGCACCATGAGCGTGAGCGGGAAGTTGGTGATCCAGCGGCCGGGGTGCGGGCTGGTGAGGCCGGCCGCGCTGGCCCAGC